TTAGCTGTACGTCTTGATTTGACTAAAATACAAGCAAAAAAACGCATACAAATTTAGTATTTTGGATTAAAATTTGAATTCCATGTGATTTATGATACTTACATAAGTACAGACGGACAAAAAAAAATATCCAACCAGAAATATATAATATTTGATAGAGCAGGTTCATAAACTATTTTTTTTGGGTGTGGTACTTGAGAGGGTTCTATTTTGTGGTATCTTAAGGTCCAAAGCATCCACAGTACTCCACAATCCACTGGTATTTTTGGTACCCACTCGGAAATCCTTTCGAATTTATGTCACCTGGTCAGCTGTAGCTTTGGTCCTCTCTTTTGGCGGCACCTTTGTGCCATGTGGTTGGTGGTGCAGGTGGGTGGGTGGTTTTGCAGGTGGGTGGGCAGGTGGGCATCTGCCCCGGAGGGTGGTGCTGAAAAGTATGCTACGCTCTGCGCACATGGCACATAATTGAGTGACAACGTGGTCTGAAACATTTGCCAGGCGGACACCGTCAAGTGCTGCTGGCCAGCCAAAAAAGGGGTGGTTGGGTGGCTAGATGGATGGGTGGTTAGGTGGTTGGGTGGTTGGGTGGCTCAGTGGTTGAGTAGTGGGTGGGTTTGGCCGCCTTCGGTTGGCAGCTGATGCAGGGCATTTGAATTTGTAATGAGATTACACACAGACAGAGACGCAGAGCTAGAGAGATACTGTGTATATATATGTATATATATCCATATAGCGAGGATACAACACCTGCTGTCCTATCTCCTATCTGGCCATCTCTTTTGCTCGCATCAACGTTCCATCTCTTTCTCTGTCCCCCCGGTGAAGCAACTGTTAATTGTGGCCATAATTAAGGTGACCCCGAACCGGTTGGCCATACGCAAAACGTGACGAGCTCATTAATTTTAAATGCTTTATTTGCCCTCAACTCTCCACCTGACCTGTCCTGCTAAATTTCCTCTCGCTCTATTTGTGTCCTTTTTTTATAGCTCTATCTCTATCTACATCTCTATCTCCACCACTTTACCCCTCTCTCTCTCTCTCTATCCGAAACCAAATTCAGTTTGCTATTTCTCTAGCTTTTTGTGTGTGTTGATTTAAAACCCAGATGCAGTGGATGAGATGAGATGAGATGAGATGAAATGATGATGATGGGATGGTGATGATGACTCCAGGACGTTGTTAGCGCCGTTGCTGCCACTTGGCTGCTTTATGTCATTGCTGGTTAAGCGATGCGTCTAATTTGCAGCTGCTGCCGAAGCTGGACGGCAATGGCAATTCTCCCGCCTCCGCCCCCGCCCCCGCCATGGGCCACGCCCACTCTTGGCACGGGCCAAATTTGCATTTCCCAAGAAAGCGAGCAAAAAGAGGATGGCAAGGTGTTGCAGAAAAACGAAAATTCTTAAACCATCTCTTGAATTTATGGATAACATTTGGGGAAAAAAAGGATACAAACTTTGTACGGAAATGTTCCCAAAGTAAAGTGAAAGATATTAGTATACCTTATACTTCAGGATGTTATATTTTTGCTTAACATTTTATTTAACCAGTTTGCTTTAAGTCTTTATGGTATAATTTCAAAAGCATTGTTTCTAAAAACGTTCTTGTGTTTAATACGAAATGATTATGTCTAGATCGTTTTTTAAATATTTAAAACAAAAACGTGTTTTTTTATTAATAGAAATTAAACTTTTTAAAGCCATTTCCGATGAAAATAAAATTATAAAAACTCCTTCATAGGCTGTTTACACTTAAATAGATTTTTTATTTTTAAGAATTAAATTTTTTAGGCCAAACTAAAAATTCTAGAACCATTTTCGTTCGTCGCCATTAACATTTATTTTTTTAAGTTCCATTGATCAGCTGCAAGATAATTAAAATAATAATTAATTATAATGAAAAAAAATAGTTTTTTTAAACATTTCTTTCCTGAAATGTGTCTACCAAATGGAACTTCAAAATTTTTGGGGTCCGACAGCCTATTATTTTTATCATTTTTTACCATTTTTTTTAATTTTTTTATTTTTTAAATATTAATGTAAAAGTTGAGCCAAATTTGTTCACTCAGTTAAAAAGAAATCGTAAAAAATAACCACTTGATTCTGTAGTTGTTTTGTGTATAGTAATTATTATATAATTTGAAGAACTCGTATTGCAAATTAAGGTCTAAAATTATGATACGCCTGGCGAAAAGGGTATATAAAAAACACTCGCATTTCAGTGGTGGTGGGTGAAAAATAGTTTGCATTTACTTTGGCTGCTTGGTCTTGGTTTCAGTCTTGGTTTTCATCCTTCAACCTGGGAAAATGGTAAGTGGAGGCGTCTGCCTGTTGACTGCCACCTGGATGTGGGGATTCCAGGGTGTTGGGATGGAGGGATACCTGGGTGTTACGATGCCTGGTTTCTGGGATGATGATGATGGTGCTGCCTCTCTAACCGCGTTGCTCGTTAATTTTGCAGCATTTCCGCTAGCAATTTTCAGCCAACTCCTGCTGCTACTTCGTACTGTGTCCTTTATGTCCTTGTTGTTGTTGCTGCTGTTGTTGTTGTTGTTGCCTGCAACCGGAAATGCAGGAAACGGATATTACACGCTCCAGAAAACTCACAGTGGCGGGGGCGGAAAGCAAGGTGGGGAAGGGGGATTGCCGGGTAACTGGAATAATATGAAAGAGATATGACTTTTGATGACAACGTGGATGGCTGCTGTTCCTGCTGCTCCTGCTTCTGTTGCAATTTGATGCATTTTCCGTGTTTAGACAGCTGCCCCCAAAAAAAAAAAAGTTGTCCTTAGCGCCTGGCACTCACCTTTTCCTTTGGCCCCCGGCTTCCTTTTCCTTTATCTCTGCCGCTTTTCTCGCTGGTTTTCCCGCCCTGGCTTTTCTGCTTTTCCCCAGCTTTTCCCTAGCTTTTCCCTGCAATTGCAACTGGAAACGCAATTGGAGCGTGCAAAAAAGAGGAGGAGGAGCGTCAAGGAACGCAAACGGGGCGCTTTAATTGCTTAGCCCATGGAATTGTTGTCTCCCATTTCCATTTTTCTTGCTTTCTTTTTTTTGAGATAGCTTGCTGGATTTTCCTTTCTGGCTGTTCAATTGTTGGGAAAATGAAATTATTGCAAGCCAGCAGAAATGGCAGGAAAACCAGGTCACAGCTGCAAAAAAAGAGGATTTTAGCCAAGATGAATTGACTTGCCCCAAAAAAATAAATAAATTCGCAATTTGATTTTTTTTTTTTTTTGTAAGATTTCATTGTTTTTGTTTGGTTTTATTTTGTATTTTTTACTCTTTTGTTTTCCTTTTGCATTTTTGTTTTTCTTTATTGAACATAATAATTTTTTGTTTCGGTTTTTGTTTGTTACTTTTAATGCTTGCTCACTTTCGCTTGTTAAATTTGTAGCTTAAATTTAATTTGAAATTTTTCTTCAACGCTCGACCTTTAATTACTTCCATGCAATTTAATCCATTTTATGTTTAATAATTAGTTGTGTATGTTTTTTTAATTTTTTGTTTTTATAGGGGGGAATGTGTGGTGTGTGTGTGTGTGTGTTGTTTTTGTTTGTCTGTAAACTTATTTTGTTAGAGTTGTAGCGTATTTTAAATTTAATTTTAATATGCATAAATTTTTTGCCCTTCGCCCCTCGCTAGCTAACCTTTTGACCCCTCTTTTCTGCCGCTTCATCGCTTTTCGCATTATCTCTTCCCGCCTTTGTTTATTATTTAATGCGTTCAATTTTCGCTCGCTTTTATCAATTTCAATGCACGCATTTGGCAAAAAAAAAAATATTTCTTTATTTTCATATATATATCTATGTATATATAAATGTGTTTTTGTTTAGCAATATTAATGAACATTTATTTCGTAGCTTTATCTCTTTATGTATTTTGCATTTTGTATTTTGTTTAATTGTTATTAGTAATTTGTATTTTGTATCTTGTATCTTGTATTTCGTATTTTGCTGTCTTTTGCTTTTGTTGCTGCTGCTGAATAGATTAAATTGTTGTTTTTTGGCTCTCATTTGTTTGTTAGTCTGCTATTTAACAATGTTGACAAAATATATATACACATGTATATCTATATATATTTCGATTGTGTGTGTGTGTGTGTCTGTGTATCTGTGTGTGTGCCTGTCTTTTAGCTTTAACCTTGCCTGCGACTTTCGGATTTATTCACTAATTTTAAAATGCCATCTTCCGCCTGTGTAAATAATTATATGAAATAATTCTTGCCCGTGCATGAGTAAATTCTTAAATATTTTTCGTTTTCGTTTTTATTTTCATTTCTTTTTTTCTTTTCTTGTATTTTTTCTTCATTTATAACTTGACTTTTTGTGAAGTTTTCGTTTTCGTTTTGTATAAATTTAAAATTGTCAGCCATTTTTTGTTGTTGTTTGTTTTCGTTAATAAAAACGTTATGTAATTTATTTGTATTTGTATTTTTATATTTATGTTATATTTAATACGACTACCGTCTCCAACATTTTCGTTCTCGCTAAGTTCTATAAAAAGTGCGTAATTAAAAATTGTTGGCGTCCGCATTTAATATTCATATTCAAGTATTCGGTATCCTTTCAGTTAATAGCTAAACGTTTTTTTTGTATCCCATATATTATATGTAGATGCACACGCAAAAAAAAAATTGTAGTTACTGCTCAGAGTGCGAGTTTTCCGCCTACTCGACTTTTCAATCGAGTTGAAGTTTTCCGCTTTAGCTTCATTGCGTTTCCTTTAATTTGATTTGATTTGAATTCCTCGCTTTTCATTCCTTTTCCGTTCGAATGCTAAGTTTCCGTCTTTCGTGTTGGGCTTTAAAAATACTTTACTCTTAGGACAGTTCTCCCTTGGATTTATGTACAACATTTAAATTACTAATAGTTGCAAATTTCATTCGTCGCCTTCGCTTTGCGCCCGGTATTTAATTAACTCTCGTGGACATACCAAAAAAAAAAAAGAAAAACGAGAAATGAATGTTTGCCATTCGCGTGGATTATTAATAAATGTTTATTTATCTTTTTTTTTTATTTGACTGTCGTCTAGCTTTTATTTGCATAATGCTTCTTAAATATGTACACACAGAGAGTGGAATAATCGAATTCGTACTAAAAGCGAATTTAATTTGTGTTTTAAGTGATAATTTTGTGGAGTTTATTAAACACTGCATTTAAGAAAGAAAGAAACACACACAGAAAAGGATTTGAATAAATCGAAAATCAACTGTCTTAAGGGTTTTCCTTGATCTCAAGATCAAATCGGACAAGACACAACACTAGAACTGGGGAAACATCCTTGTTTTTTTCATTTAAAATGAATCCCCAGCTCTACACAACATATATGTACGATACGATTTACGATACCTATGGGTTCCAATTTCATTTGGGGGAGGGTTTCTTTCAGCTGGACTCGATTTAATTTGTATCGCCTTTGCGCTTTTACAACCGAATGTGTTCGTTTTTAGCCATAAACTCTATATATATACTTGAAGTATGGTTATAGTAATTGCCTTAGCTCTCGTTCTTATATACAAATCTAATCGGTAAGTGCCAGAGTGGTGCGCCATGGATGGATTGTTTGGTTTTTGGTTTTGCGAATCGCTTGGGAAAATCAGAAGGCAGAATCTGCGGTCAATACATATACACATATATATATATATATATAAAACACCTCATCCTGGACGATTGGTTTTGTTTCGAGGAAGCCAATTTATCATTTTGTGGGAATTTTTTACTTTGACGTAGGGGGTAATAGGCTAATCTTGGACGCAATCGAAAATTTTCTCACTTTTACCTAACAAATATGGCTAAAAAAAAAAATACAAAAAACAAACAATTAAAGAGAATGCCAAAAAAATAACAAATATATGTATAGACTATATTTTTATATCGATTGTTGTCGTTTGTTCTCGCTCTCGTTTCGAAATTAGCGGGCGGTGCAGCGTGGCGTATGCGTGATATTTGTGGAACGAGAACGAAAAATCGTCGCCTTTCGCTTGAATAAGTTTTGCATATTCCGCTTCCGTCGGCGGATATACATATGTATGTATCTATGTATGTATGTGTATTGTATATATATATAAAATGCCTTTTCATATACGTTTCCATTTGTTTATTTATTATTTTCTGTGGCTCATAGCAGTGTTGATAATTTAGTTGTTGTTTAGATTTTAGTTAGCGTTTTTTTTGTTTTTTTGGGAGTTAAGTTGAGTGTTAGTTTAGCTACAAATACATATGCATGTGTGTGTGTACTAAAATATCTCGTATCCGCACTTTGCTTCACTTCCGCTTCCTGCTTTCTTTCTTTCTTTTTTATTTCCCTCTATTTTCCAGCTTTATTGCCTTGGCATTGTCCTTGCTTGGTTACCTTGTTTAAGTGTGTGTGTGTGTGTGTGAAAGTGTGGTAGTGTGGATTTGGGGTGTGTGTTTTTTTTTTGTCACAAAGAACTAACGCTATAATTAAAAATTGGCTTTCTGCTTTCTCTACCATTTTATCTCTCTTTTGGCCGCTTTAGTTTCAATATTTTTTTTCCCTTCATTTGCGTTGCGCAGCGATTTTCGTTTTGCTTTGTTTAAATTTTTATGAGAACTTTTGCTACGTTGGTATTATAATGCATGTGAAATTAGCTTTAGGTTTAGATTTACTTTTTAGATTTATTAACTGCTTATTGCGTTTTATAAACACTAACGTCATTTGTCTTATTTCAACTACTTACTTAAGCCGCCAGTTGCTTTCTCTCGCTTTCTCCACCGTCGCTTTCTCCTTTTTGCATCTTTGCATTTTTACCTTTTGCATTTGCTTCTCCATTTTGCCATAACTTAACATACATTTCGTTAATACTAGTAAAAAAAATGTTTTTTTATCTTCTGTTCTGTTCCTTTCTCTTTTTTTTGTTTCTTAATTTTTTCTTTTGCTTTGACTGGCTTTTGTTGGCCATCAACACACACTAATGCACAATTAATACTAGACAAAAAAAAACATAGTTTCGCTTATTAGCCTAGAGTTGTAAAGGTCTATATAGAAAAAAACCGATCCTCCCTCATTGCCGACGTTTTTTAAGTACTTCGTAGTTGCTTTGCGATCGTTTCCATATTTTTATTTCCGGTTCCGTTTCAATTTCAATGTTCGTTTCTGTTTCCGTTTTCGTTTCCGTTTCCGTTTCCTTGGCCTCTGTTAACTGGCGAGTCGTGGGTCGTTGGAATGTCCAAGTTTCCAATCTTAGTAGCGCTGCTGGTACTCATGGTGCCAGCGATTGAAATCGATGTGGAATACTATGATCGAGCCCGTCGAAAGTCCGGCCAGAAGGTATCTATTATGGGTTTCAGAGAAAAAATAGGGGAAGAAAGGTAGAAGTGGAAAAAAAGGGTTATGAAAGAGTGTAAAATACCTTTCTAAGAAAAGAATACCAAAGGTATTTTGTTATAATTAAACCAAATACGTAATTGCTCTGGGATATTATCTAAATATCCCTAAAATTTTTCACTAATTAATGAAATTTTTAAAAACATATTATTTTCTTTAAAATTCAGTTTAAATGGTTATAGGTTACTTTATAAATTAATATGTTTGCCTTTCTTTTTGGGAATCCTTAACCATTTTGAATATTTTCAATGCAGTTTATGTTAAGGAGACGTGTTATATGTTGCCAATTAATATTTTAAATGTATATTTTGGCATTTTCGGTATTAAATAAGTTAATAATTTGTAAGGAACTATGGTATTTCACTTACTTCTGATCGTGGGTGAGGGCCAAAGATCGGATGCCCGCATTGCAGGCGGGGAAGGCATAAAGTGGTGCTAGGTTGAAGGTGCGCCACACCTCCACGATGCCGCGATCGCCGGCGGTCATCAGGTATTCACCATCGCGCGACAGCAGCATGCACTGAAAAAAAACAAAAGAAAAAAATACAAATATAAATACTAATGAAATAATTCTTATAAAAATAGCCAACAAATATTATCTAATATATTATATCATATATTATTAAAACAATAGTAATAGTTTAAAAACCCACCTGTAGATTGTCGTTGTGCGTCTCGTGGCGCAGTTTCTTGCCATTGATGGTGTAGGCGGCCACATTGCCCTTGTCGTAATTGATGACAATGAAGCCCTCGCGGGACATGGTGATCAGTTCCGGGGAGTGGAACTCCGCCGGTGGATCCAGCGAGCGCAGAAGGTCGCCGAAAGTGGTGTGGATTAGCACGGGTCCATCTGGAAAGGTAATACCTTATAGTGCTCTACTTGCCCCACTTGAAAAAAAAGAAGTTAAAACTCACTTGACGATCCCGAGACAACCAGACCCAGTTCGGCACTGATCACCACCGAGGTCACCGCCTGTTCGTGACCCGTTAGGGTGGCCCGCGGAGTGGGCACATCGCCCTCGCCCACGATGCTCTGGGTCCGGGCATTCCAGTGCCACAGGAGCACCGTGCAGTCGGCGGATCCGGAGGCGATGTAGCAATCCGAGGTGATGTTGCACTCGGAACGGGCCATGCAGGTCACCACTCCAAAGTGTCCGAACACAATTTGCACGATTTTCGCTGAAAATGGGAAAAAATGGAATAGAAACAATAATGGTGTGTTAGAGATAATAGATAAAGTATAAAGTAAATGTGGTATATAAAAAAGGTATAATGTGAATGTGCCTTTAAAAGGCAGCCTTCTAAATTGCACTTAACAATTTTATTTCCACTATAAATATTTATTAATATAAAGCTCCCAGTTATATTTTTTCCATTAAATCACATATAAATGTGTGTGAGTCATTAAACTCACTGATGGATTTTAATATTGTTTTTATTTTCATTTAAACTCATATCAAAGCAAATACTAGCATCGCTGGTTTATAATTTGTAAATATTATGTTAATAAACATGCCCTCGAGTAGAAAGGACTGATACAATTATGCAAATACTGTACATATTTAATATATTAATTTTGTGCTTTAGTAACATTTTTCAATTGAATTTAAGTTGATTTTAGCATGTTGCATTGATTTGCATATGCAATTAAACTGATTTATGCTACTTTTTACTAGTTAAAGCATTACACCAAGAGTTTATAAATAAGTAATGTCTGCTTTAAAAATGCAAAGTAATAAATTCTTGAATAAAATACAGCTGAAATCGTTTGATGGCTAATAAATTCTCAATTAAATTTTGCAAAACCTACCTGTTTCGGTGGCAAACACCCGGAAACTGTTGTCCCAGAATCCACAGGCGATGAGGAACCGACTATCCACCGTGGTGACAAAGCAGTTCGATCGGATCTTGAGCATTTGGCTGAAGTTATCACCCAAATGTCGTCGACTGACCGCATTGCTATTATTGTTGGTACCATGGACAGCTAAGAGATAATCAAAAAATGAAATCAGAAATAGCTATAAAATGATGAGATCTTCAGAAAACCCACCCAGAACCGGATCGATGGTCAGTGGCTGATTGGATCCCGGTGATTGGGGCGATTCGGCGTAGCTGGGACTCTGGACGGAGGCGGTATAGTTGCAGTTCCATCGATTCACCGCGAACTGGTGACCCGCCGTGACCGTCACCACCGATGGCAGCGACAATTGTGGATAGGTGTTGGCCGAGATGTGAATGACCGGTGAGTTCTGATAGAACTTGAGCATCTGGCATAGATCCTCGGGCATTGCACTGAACATCATCGGCGACAGATGCATGGCCGAACTGCGCGGCGGATGGGGTTCCATCAGCAGTTGACTTGGAGTTTGGCCAAAATTGCGGATCTGATTCTCCACAGCTTCGCGCATCACAGGATCCAGGACGCCATCCAGATCGACGCTACCCTCATAGGTCAGGTAGTAGAACACATTGGTGGCCCTAATGGCCTCGGGACCACGTTGCTTATAGCCAAAGATCAAATCGATCCACTGATGCAGTTGGCAGGATACGAATTCCGATTCCAAAGCCATGCGATTGATGCGCACAAATTCCTCGGGGCTCTTGGCCCAGGGCGGTAGTTCGATATCATCCACCAAGGCACCATCTTCGCGATGACCCAACCGATAGCCCGACGAGTTGTAGAACATCTCGGGGAGGAAATACCATTCGGGTATCAGTTCCTTAACATCCGATGTATCCCGCTGGCAGTTCTTCCACGACAGCGATACCGAACTGAACAACCTATCGGGATAATCGAACTTGCCGCCCTGCAGGGCCAGGAACATGGTGGTGAACGGTTCCACGCGCACCAACCAGTTGAGCGTAAAGGCCGCTGTGGAATAATGGGTGCCATAGTGGAAGGGCGGTATGGTATCGCTGTCCCAACTCTCGTAACGCTCCTCAAAGTACGCTCTACGCGATGGATTCAATGCCCCAATGGGTTTCGATAGATCCCTATAGTTCGATGGCAGGCTGAGATCCAAATCCTTGGACTCGTAATTGGTCAGAACCCATGGGAAGATGGGATACTGATTGAGGTCGTTGTACGTCCTGCCGGCGATTGTATTGAGGAACATTAGATACTCAAAGTTGCTAATCTCGCGACGCTGCCATTTCTGGGTCATATTGGAGTTGCGCATCAGCTGCCTTGGCGACATCATTGATGCCCTGCGTGTCTGGGGTATTCCATACTTTATGCCCACTCCAACACGGGGCAGAGCTTTGATCACCTTCTTCACCGTATGTTGATCGGGAAAGGCGAACAGAATGGATGTCCTGCTGGCCAAAAATATCTCCAGTGCCACATTCTGCAGGAGATAGCGCCTCGAGAAGATGGCCCTCACCTCAGAGAAGTACCACTTGCCGTGCAAATGATCGCAGTATTTGAGAACTTCCCCATCGATCTTCTGGAATTCGGGATGCTCTTCATCCACCTCGAAGAACATTTCGGTGCTGGTTATCGAAACAGTGCCAGGGGCCACCAAACCCGGAGCTATCAATCTCGCCTTGGTGCTAATGTTGACCGGACCCGTGAGATCCAGATCCAATTCTCGATCCTCGATCAACAGCTCCGCATCGTCCAAAAGTTCACCATTGTGCTGACCCGATGGATGGGCTCGCGACACGGCAATCTGAGTGTGGAACTCATCGCGTGTCTGCAGGATGGCATCTTCGGGTCCACCATTCTCCAGAGCCGCCTTCAGCGTGGCCTGTGGATGCGATGAGCCGCGAGGATTCTGCACCATCCGCTTCCGACGACGGGCATCATCCTCCCAGGCATCCAGTTTCCAGTACGGACTCTTTTGCACTGCTCCCACAATGGCGCCACCACTGGCACTCGTCGTGTTGGCACTGGAATCACCCCAGGCTCCATGACGATTGCACATTATGTTCCGCACCTTCTCCAGCAGCCGGCTGGCAATCACATTATCCCGACGACGAGCGGCGGTTATCAAGTGATCACACATCCTCTCCTCCTCCCGGCGCTCCAAGAGGGTTTGGGCACACTGCGATTCAAAGTCGGCATGCTTGAGTACATCATCGGCACGCATACGATTCAGTATGAACTCCGCCTCATTGGCCACCCTCACGATGTGATCCTTCATGGCATGCGACAGGAGGCGACCCTCGTTGATCAGCTCGATGAAGGCCAGACCGGCATGTTTCTGCAGGCTATTCTGCCATTCCTGGGAGCAGAGCAGCATCACCAGCTCGACCACCGAATGGGAGTTCTTGAATGTGGTCAGTCCCTTGCCCTCCATCAGCAGTTCCTGGCCATGCGAACCAACGAGGGTCTTGGACAGGAATGGAGCGAAATCCACCATAATTTCGCGCAGCAATGGACACACTGGTCCCAGTGCAATTTCCAGTTTCTGGGTGAGACTTGCCTCTCGCGACGGCGTGGTCAGTGGCAACTGGGCCACCAGGGCGGGAGCCTTCATGGGCAACTCGTCGGGACGAGGACGCTGATTTGGCGGGACACCCTGACCTTGTCCAGGATTAGAGCCACCGGAACCGGCATAACCATCGGGTACACGGACCACCGATATCTCCGAATCGGGTTTATCACCCCGCTCCGAGTTGCCAAGTGAACCATGCTGCTGCTGTTGTTGCTGCTGCTGATGCTGCTGCTGTTGCTGTTGCTGCTGCTGCTGTTGCTGGTTGTGATGCGATGATGGGTCGTGCTTGTCGGTTATGACATTACCACCATTATCCACCAATCCCACAACCATGCCGGCACTGGCCGCCTGAACGGCCGCATCCTCGTTAAGATTCACATCCGTCCAGCTTTCGTCGTTCGAATGGCTAGGCTTGTGGTCATCGATGAGGATCTCGCTGGAGGACTCCACCTCGGGCACTTCGTTCTCCGTGGAGTTCATGTTGAGGGAGCCCACATCCGAATCGACGCTCTGCGATTTAAGTTGGGATTTGGTTTTCGGGTTTGAGGGGGGGGAAAGAGATATGAAAATAAGTAGGCAATCAAAATATGCATGGATTTCGGTAGAAGAGCAATCAAATGGGTCCCCAATTTCGAACGTGGGTTTTTCTCTACTACACTCGACAAAATAGTACACAAGTATGGCCGTGAACTTTGGAAAATCAGCCATGTCTGGTTGTGATTTTGATGTATTTGATATTAATATTACGAGTTAAGTGCATATAGTGAAGTAATACAAAAATGATATATATTTATACTTGCCAGTATTTTTAAATTCTATAATATATTTAATATAATATCTACTTTAAAAATATATTATTATATTATATTTCAGGTGTTTTCTTTTATCAATTTCATAACTCATTTTAAATCAAAGTATTTCATAAAACTAAAATATAATTTTTAAGATATAAACATTTTATAGAGATTTTCTTAATTTCATGGCGATTATACTTTCAGTGCTGACTCTATCTCTCTCACTCTTTCGCTTGCTGGTGTGCGTGGGCATGCCGATGTGAGCTGTGTTTGTGTGGGTTTTGATGTATGCCTATCATTTGCACATTAATTATGCACATTGGACTATAAATCAAAATTCCCAAGCAGCAAGGCCCCCGTCCGTTCGTTTTGTCAACACATGCATTTGTCATCAACCCGAACCGGGATCACCCCTTGACCCCCAAAAACCCCTAACCCAGTCCGCAGCCCTGTTTTCCCACCAAAGCTTCCCCTTGCGTATACCCCTGTTTATTCAACAACTGTCACTCATCGCCGCTCATGGCGGCGACAGTTTGTCAAGTGATTTGCATAAAAGTAGTCGAGATTCCCTCGAACCCACAGATTTTGAGAGAGGACAGGACATTAGGCATGCGAAATGAAACGCACCGAAATGGAACGATGCGGAATGGTGTGGAATGAAACACGTACGGCATATGACAAATTTTGTTAAGCGTTTGACAAATGTCAGCTGTCAGACACCAACACAAATGTCGTGGCTATAAGCGTGTCCTTGCGTCCGCTTGTCCGTATATTGTCCGCTCAAGGGAGAGATGTGTGTTTTTAGTGGGGCATTTGGGGTTTTTTTGCGGTGAAAAAGGGTGAAGGGTGGAAAGGGTTTAGAAACCCCCAAATACCCCAAACCCTTGGACAGCTGTTGCGTGTGGCGGCAGCAGCTTGTCATCAACACGAAATCAATCGCCTTTGTTTGTCCTCGATTTCTCGAGTGTTGCGGTACGGACACCGCATCCCTGGTCGAGTGCCCAAAAATTCCAATTCCCCTCCCCCCCCTCCCAGAACCCGAAAACCAATGGCTCATTCCGGGGTCTCCAATCTTGTCAACTGTGATATATGCACGCATTCATTAAGGGGGGTCTGTACTTTGTATGTGGAAAAGGGAGGTCCACAGAGCGAAAGAGAGATAGAGTGAGATAGCAGTGCACTTAGCACTCACACACACACACAAACGACAGCTAATCACTAGACCTGTGAGTGTGTGTGCGTGGGGGCATAAATAATGCGAGTGTAGTAGTTCATTAGGGTATATGGATATGGGGTTTTCGGGGGTTTACCCCAAAAAAGCGATAAAAGCCAAGAAGTGCTCTATGTGAGAGTGGGTTTAAGTGTAAGAGTGTGTGTTTTACAGCTATGTATCACTAATTGCACAAGACATACGCAGACATTAACATATACAAACACAAATGGGATAAATCACAAGCACTCACACACACAATGATGCATACTTTCGGGCGCCACAAGGTGGTTTTAGCGGCACTTTGGGTGGGTGGGTGGTTTTCGGTGATTGGGTGGTTGGGCGTGCCTGTGCTACTCATTAAGTGCTTTGATTTGTCGGTGGAGATTACAAAATGAAACATGGATCCAACTTAATTGCAAGCTCATGGCCAAGAAATCAATGAAACACATTTAAATGTCAAATCAAATTCAAAGCATAAATCCTAAACAAAATGCCAAGGCAAACAATCAATCAATACGATTGGATAATATTAATTAATAAATCATTACGTTAATGGTTGACATTCAGCTCAGGTAATAAGACCCTAATTAAGGTTAAGTGAATTGTAAATATCATTCCAATTACGGTTGTCTATACCGATTATAATTTCATTTTCTTTAAACTTAAAATTATAGAATCCCATTATCATATTTTTAATAAGCTTTAAGATAGCTTTGCTCTTCGGATAATATTTTTAGCAACATTTTTCTACAGTAATTGAAAAACAAAAACCCCAACAGTGATATTGAATTGCGTGTGGGTAGGTCCAGAAAGAAATATTTTAATGATGATATTTGACAACCAAAAGCGGCCAAAAATGTCAATATGAAAGACAAATACTGGCAACCAAATTACAGGCAAAAATACCAAGGATAAACAATGGCTACGGGCAACAAATTTGGGACAGCAATTAACAAACACAAAATCGAAACGCAATGGGTGGTGGTGGGGCTACAAAATGTAAAAAAATAAAACTGAACTTTGAGTTTTTAATTTCAATATACAAAAGTATGTTTTTTTTGTGGGTGTTTTTCGAGTGCGTCAAAGGTATTTGTAGCTGTACGTGTAGGTGGTTCGGTGTGTTTTTTTTTTTTTTTTTTTTTTTTTTTATACATGGTTTTACAGTGGTGCAGTGGCATGGTGTTTGTTATTTTACTGACTGTCGAAAGCTGTTGTTGTTATTGCAGTTGCAATATTTGTTGCTGATTTGGTTCTTGATATTATTTTTGATTTTTTTTTTTTTTGCTTTTTGGGATATTTTTACCTTTGGCAATTTTTGTGGCACCAACGGCTTTGGTGGTGACAATGGTTGTTGTTGAATTTTAATTGTTGTTGTTGGAGCGTTTGCTGTTGTTGTCTTAGTGTTGTTGTTGTTGTTGTTAATATGGGTTGTTGTAGCTGTTGTTGTTGTTGTTGTCTGGTTGGCCTGTGACATTTTTCGTTGTGATTGATTTGCATACAAATAATTTAGTTTCGTTGCACATGCAAATGAAATTTAGTTTTTTTTTTTGTTTTGGCATTTAACCTATGAATTAACACTAATCGAGGATGCAAACACTTACACACTCAATCTGGCCACACTCACACATGCAACACTCTCTTACACACACACACTTCTTACAAAAAAAATGCAGAAAAATGTTTAAAAGTCTAGAAAATGTGCCCACTTTTAGACACCTTTTGGTAGATATTTAATATCAAAATGTTTAAAAACCCTGTATATTAAATAGATATGAGTATATATAGATACCAACTCACCTTTATGGAAGGCGGTCCACTGGAATGTGAATCATTATCGGCCAAAACGGATGGATTGTTCTCATCGACAACAATTATTTCATAGTCACTATCCTGGATTTGGCGACCACCTGAAAAAACACAAAAAAAAGGCAAGAAAAGAAAAAATAACAAAGGGATTAACAAATTGATTAATTATTATTTTCATTTTTATATATCATTGCTGTTGCAGTTACGATACAATACTAGAGTAGAAATCTGTAGAATTTACTTTACGAAGCTGTAGACGAACTCAAGAAATAAAATCAAAAAAGATGACAAGAAAAAAAAAACGAACTCAAAATTTAAAACCAACTTAAACTCACACACACAAAAGGGTGTTTTAGAGGGTTAAGCATTTGGAGTGCAGAGAAAATGTGGATTTAGATTGATAGAAAAAAAACGCTGTAAATGGTGAAGTCTTTAAAAAGCTGTCTGTTTAAAATTTCCCTAAAATTTCTGTGTCTGTGCAGAGAAGAGCTCATAATTTGTAAGATTTTGCAGGACTTGGCTTTCTCTGGCTTTTATCTGCAAATTAACCTTGTTCAACTGTTGGCCATGTCCTGATCTGGCTTAATTGAAATTTATGATTGTGCCGGCGACACGTGCTCTCTGTCTCTGTCTACAAGCACTAGCCCCGTCTCTTTCTCTCTCTCTTTTCTGCTGGTTGTATGCTGTTAAGTATGCTACACTTTTGTGCACACCCTTATTTCATTTTCGTTTTTTTTTCGACTGTTTTTTTTTTTGGTTTGGTTTAATTTTGCAATTATTTTCATGCACTGCCACGCCCCTTACTCCCACTAGCACACACACAAACACACACACACACAGAGAGGAGCTGGCCACAAATTACTTTTGTACAGAAGTCGGAGCATGTTATCGGCTCCAACAGTTGTACAAACTGTTTTTCCACCTTTTTTTCTGTTTTTTTTTTGTTTTGTATATTTTCCCCTTGTCCTTTCATAAATTATCCCAAAGTTTTTCCCAGTCTGTTATGTTTTCGTTTCATTTTTTCGGTCAGACTAATTTACATTTTTGTCGCTGCCATTAATTTCGTAATGGAAATGTTGTTGTTGGAGCAGACTGCTGTGTGAAAAGTATCTATGGTCAGGGAATTTCCTTTTGATTATGGCTTTAAAGGTAAATTAAAGCGGAATAAAATAGCTGACTATGGGAATATCTTTAGATATATATTTTAGTTAATTAGGGTAATTATAGTTTGTTATTTAAATTTGTATTTTTAAAGCTAATCAGCTAATGTCTTCCTTTTTAAATTTTATTTTCCTTCTATGTACAGGGTATTTTCCCGTTTAGCTAGAAAATATAAATAAAATCAGCCAGCATCCCATTTTTCGGGCTTTCTCTGCTTTCTTTCTCTTGGCCTTTTCCCTGACCATGTCCAATGGCAATTTTTACAATTTTTAAAATGCAGGCGTGCCGAATGTCGTTTTATGGCCTGTCTGCGAAATGTTTTATGCGCACTCACACTTGCCCAAGCAAACACACACACACACCCATCCACACACACACACACACACAGCAAAAGAGAGCCATGTGTATGAATGGCAAATTGTATAATTTTCGTGTAATTCATTTTCATAAAATGTAAAATTAACGAATTATGTCTCATTGCCGTTGGGGAAAGTGGGAGGTTTCGGGGCCTAGTGCTCAACATTTTCCAGCTTTCACTCTGCCTATGTGTGTGTGTGTGTGTGTGTGTGCCTGCCTGTAAGTGTATTGCAAATGAAGATAAATGAAATGGATTTTTGCTGACAGCACAAAAATGACGGGCAAAAAAAAACATAAAGGAAATGTATATAGCTAGAGTAAAAGCAGCGGAGGAGGGTGAAAGTCCAGGAGTCCCCCGAAACGTGTCAAAAATTTTCTAGCTGTCACTGTGTGCATGTGCGAGTTTTACAAAGATAGATTGCAGTTTTTAAAAGCATATTTGGATACCCTTGTCTAGCCTAGAATTTTCCTGCTGGCCATTACACTTTTGCCAATTTTGGCCTTTTCCACACACACACATTAGAATTTAGATACCAGAAACCCAATTAAAAAGGCTCCCTCAATCAGGTAATCAAATTACGACCTCTTTCAATGCGAAACATAGAATCAAAATGGATAAATGTTTCTGGTTTTTCAGAAAAGAAGCTTGATTGGTTGTCAAATTTGCAAATTACAAATGAAAATGGATGGTGCAATGTGCAGCAGAAAATTAGAGAAAAAGTAAACTGAAGAATGGGGAAAACTGCTGTAATTAAGCAGGATTTTAATAAACAAATTTTTACTTAATGCTTTGAAAGACATTTAAGTTCAAAATACAAAACAAAATATATTCAAAGCTGGCGCCTAACAAAGCTAATTTTATAACTTAATGATTTTTTTTATGAGAATTCATATTTTAAATTGAAGCCAAGATGAATTTTATTAGTAAAACCAATTAAATACGATATAAGTAAGAAAACCAAAAATGAAAACTCTTGTATTTCCTAAAGAATGAGTGTGTTTTGCAACAAATAACACAAACTTACACCCATAATCACACATTCACACATCCAACGAATAGGTAAAAATTAGCAAAAAGAGTTGACTTGGTATATTTACATAAATCCATGTCTCAGTACGTTTCAGTGGGTTTTTTTTGTGGGGGAAAGTGTTCTTTTATATACACATCTATCGATATATCGTTTTATGCAGAGAGAGGGGCAGCTTTGTTTATAAACACACACAACTACGAATACGGAAATTCAAGGAAATGAAAGACAAGGGAATCGACAAGAAATCAAAAATTCAAATCGAAAACAAATCAAATTGTAACCAAATCGCAAGGAAAGGCAAGAAAGTGAGCAACAGTCTAGCAGCTAAAGATATAGAGAGAGTTTTAGCCATGTTACACGAAAATATTTAGTTTAAAAAATTTAAATAAATTGGATTAAAGAAAGATTAGCAATTGATTTTTAAATATTCATGAAAATGTGTACATTTTTCAATGATTGCTTATTAAAATTGCAAATATATAGCTTAAAAGCTCTAAAGCTTTGATTAATTTTCAATGGAACATGGCTATTAAGCTAAGATTTACAAAAATATATAAAATACAGATTACGGTTTACAGATACACATAGATAGTTGGGCAGTAGTGCGAGGTTGTAAAACTATAGAGACTCTACGACAGTCGAACGAGCGATACCTGTTCCAGCGGATGCGTTGCGTCCATTGTAGCGGTAATTATTATTTATGGCGCTCGTCTTGTAGGCCACGCCTCCATCCAAGCCCCCTGCCACGCCCCCCATGCCCATGCCAACACCACCAACACCACCAACACCACCAACACCAGCAGCAGCAGCATTTGCATTAACAACAGCACCCGTTGTTGCAACACCTGCAATGCCCGAGATACCCGAGATGCCAGAGATTCCCGAGATTCCTTGGTTTCCCGCTGTTGGTGGCGGTGGCGATGATGATGCTGATGGAGTTGCTCCACCATTCCTCAAATTTCGCATATTGTTCATCAGACTGGAATTATTATTATTACCAGCCGTTGCATTTGAGCCATGACCATTCATCAGTCCCACTGCCGCCTGATAGTCGGAATTACCATTCTGTTGTCCCGCTGTTGACTCTCCATTTCGCATATAACCACCACCACCATGTGGATGTGGATGTGGATGATATCCCGCTGCGGATCCATTTTCTGTATAATGTTTGCCATTCAGCTGCTGATGTTGCTGGTGGCCATTGATCAAGCCATAGTGCGGCTGGTGAGGATGGTAATGTTGCTGCTGTTGCTGCTGCTGTTGCTTGTGCAACTGGCGATGCGATTGCTGTTGACTTTGGGATGCCAGGCTGGAGAGCGAGGAGCTCGATGCTGGCTGAGATGTGGCCGTGGAGCTGGCCGAAGAACTGGTCGAGTGTGTGGCCAAGGGAGTGGGCGAATGTTGCTGCTGTCCACCTGCAACTTGCTGATGTTGCTGCTGTTGCTGTTGCTGCTGCTGGTAGTAAGCAGCAGTCATGTGATGATGGCTGTGATTATGGGCAACCTGCTGTTGCTGCTGCTGCTGCTGTTGCTGATAGTAGTGTTGCTGCTGTTGCTGCTGGTGTTGCATGTTGCTGTTGTGATTCTGGTGCGATTCGGGCAGGAATTGCGGGTAAACATGATGTGACCATTGGGGAAACAAAGGACGCGCACTGGCGGCTTCTAAAGTTTGGTTTTTGTTTGTTATTTTTTTGGTTGATGGTATTTACACACATATTTTTTTGGGGGCGGGTTGTGTGGCAAAGGCGAGGTATTCGTTGGCGAGGTATTTTCCGTTTTTATGCAATTTTTTGTTTTGGTTTTTGTTTAGTTTATGATTGTTTTTTTTCATATTTTTTTTTTGTACAATAAATCCGAAAAAGCAGCGTGAAATGAAATCATCGGTAAACGGAACAAAGAAAAGGAAACATAAAACCGAATAGTATCTCCAACAATGGAACAGACATGAGATATTCTTGTGTTCTTAACAGCTAGTGATTATATATATATATATGTATATATAATATAATATAACAGTAGTAAAAAGGGGGGCGGGAGTGGATTGGTGTTGGGTGGGGGGTTTTTTGGGTTGGTGTATATATGGAATAATGATGTGGGAGAGAGGTGATTTATTTTTTATCAAAGGGAAAGACACACACACGCACATGGGAGGAGTTCTAGAGGGGATTTAAGGTGGGTCCAGCGGTCAAAGTGCGGTGGTTGGTGGGCTGGTTGGTCGTGGGCTTTAAGGTGGATCGAATAAAAACAAACTCTCTTCGAGTGGCATCTACCATTTAAAAAACACGTTTGTTCAGCTGTTCAAAAAACACAGAACACAAAACCAAAAGCGGAAACAAGCCGAAACCGAGATGTGAAATGAAACGAATCGATAAAACAACAATAAATCCAATAAATATATATATATATATATAGAAAAGAAATATATATATATATATAGATATATATGTAGGTAACAGAAAACAAATCCAGGTAACTAGCGGCCGATTCGAAAACAGAGAGCCAAAAGGTAAAAACGATAAACGAGCGTGAAGTTTTTGGTGCAGCAAGAAAAGGGAAATCAAATCGGAAACGAAACAAAAACGGAAATCGTAATCGAAATCGAAACGAGAACGAAATGCAACCGAGGAACACAAGTGAAACGAAACGAAACGGAACGGAACACGAAATAACAATGAAACGGAAAGACTGCCGTCGGCAGAAGTTCGTTTCCCCGTCCCAGAAAAATGATCATCTCTCTAGTAATGGGTATAATAATAATATAATAATATCTATTGCATTTCCGGGAACTAAACCCGATCAAAGTCGGCAAGATCGGGGAATTAAATTGGTGGATCTTTTTGCATTTTTGTTTTTGTTTTTTTTTTTTGGGGTTTCACTTACCGCCGCCTGCTGTGCGCTGTAGCACTGGCGATTGACGCTGGATCTGCGGCTCTGCCGGCGGCTCCAGAATATCACGATACTTGGAGACCATCAGGACCGATATGAAGTAGACGATTGCCAGCGACAGGAACTGTGCCTGCTTCGTCTCCTCCTGGAATGGGTTAAAAAGCAGGGAAAAATACGAATTTTCATTATAAAGATTTTTAAAACTTATACGGTCATAAGTAGAGTCTTTAAGTATGTACTTTTATTTTAATGAAAGGAAAAAAGGACAAAAGATCATATTTATCTAAAATTGAATTTAAGGAGAGTGGTTCTGGCTATATCTTACAATAAAATAATAGATATATCCTGTGAAAAGCTACATATCGCTTTATTATGGCTTGATTTATAAGCGTTTATATGCTATACTCTATTCATAGTTTTTAATTCTTATATTAAAAATTGAAATAACTATAAAGATATAATTATATTTGTTACATTTATACATTTATTGAATATATATCATTTGGTTTTAATTATGTTTTTGCTTGAATGTTACTGTCTCGAAATTCTACCCAATCATTTAAAAAAAAATCTATTTAATACTTTATAAATCTTATACTTGTACACTCACCACATCGCGATAGATGACGGCACGCAGGCGATTGACGTCCATGTCCTGGAGCAGCTTCTCGGGATCCTTAACAGGTGATAATTGACCGGTGATTGACTCGACAATGTTCTGTTCGAAAGGGGGGGGAGGGGGGATTAAGAGGAGGAAACAAGGATTGTGGTTTCTGCAGGGTGCGGGATATCTCACCTTGGGCGATGCCTGGGCACCGCGAATGAGGGCCTGCAGGTGCGCCGCACCCGGAACGTCTCTCGCCAAGGCTCCAACATTATAGCGCGTTCGCTCCTTGCACTCCAGGCAATTCCTCACCGCACAGGTGCAGACCAGCCGGAGGCACTGGCGCAGGATGCCACCACTGGACATGTTCTTCTCCGCCTCCAGCTCACCGAAATTCAGGGACGTGGCAAAGATAAGGACATCAGCCATGTTGACCAGACGCTGCAGGAAGGACACGGCCACCTCCAAAGGCATGCCCTGCGTGGGCTCGAGGACATCCAGTTCGGACTGTAACGAAATCCAGGGATTAATGGTTCAGAATATAAAGTATATATAAATTGTGCTATCTCTAGTTATGTATCATTAAGTTATTGTTATATTTTATAACGTTTATTTACTCATTTTATATATATTTCTATGTTTAAAACCTTATCCTGAATTTAAAGATGTAAACTTCCCCAAAATGATTGATGATTATTTTATATTTTACCTTGTGTAATTTGCACTTTAGCTTTTAATATATATTTCTAGGATAAAAATGGTTAACAGAAAGGTGACCCAAAACCCAAAAACCAATTTCATGTAAAATTTGTTTACATTTAACACTAACATCACCATTTACATCATTACATTTACATTTTACATTAAAAAAGGTGACCCAAAATCTGCAGCTCTACAGCCTTATCCAAATTTTATGTTTTTCATACAATCCCAAAATTTGTGTTTTAATTATTATATATATAAAGTATATTATTATACTTTATAATTTTTATCCTCGAAGTTAGAACAATTTGTTGAACTAATTTTATGTTAACTCGTATGGTGACCCAAAACTTATCGTCTACAACCCATAGCTTGATTAATCGGCTTACGATTCTCTTCAATTTAAAAGTCTAAGTACTCACATTGGGTGACGTGGCGCTGGCCAGTAGGGGCAGCAATCCTCCGCAGGCAATAATCAGGTTATCCGCCAGCTGCGAAATCAGATGCACTGTGTTCACCACAAAGATGGCATTCTCACTGGAGTTGACAAAGTCCAGGACGCTTTTGGTCGAATGACTGCGCCACACCTGAATGTCCGTTTCCAGCGAGAAGAGCACATCGCTGAGGAGTCGCTGATGGATGTAGGACCACTTGAATTCCGGTATCCGGAAGGGTGGACGTGTTGGTCCTGGACTGAACATGGGTCGTGTGGAACCCGATTTGGAGCGCTGTTGCTGTTGTTGCTGCTGCTGCTGCTGCTGTTGTTGCTGTTGCTTGGATTCCGGATTGCCGGGGCCATAATGATTGGCCTCCATTTGACCGTTGGGATTTTCGACACCCGATGCTGTCTGTTGATTAGAGTACTCCTCATCTTCAAGGGAGGCAATGCCTGCGGCTGTTTGAGCTTCGTCCTCCTGAAGGACTTGCTGCACCTCTTCAACCAGAAGATTAGATCCCGCCTCATTTTTCGGCGTTGTCTGTGTGGTGGAGTCCACTTCATTGGGCTTGACCCGCACTGGCGTCACCCCCGATTGCTTGGTCAGAATCTTGGGTGATTCCTCCTCGGGAGCGGGTGAAGTCTGGGTGGTTTGCTCGGCGGCCACGGCCTTGACGGTTTCGTCCACCAGGGTGTCGAGTACCTGGTTGACAATGGCCACCACATGCTCCTCTTGTTTTTGGGGCAGTTCCGCGGGTACTTCCTGGGACTTCTGATCTATGGGCTCCTCGGTTTTCAGCTCCTCCTTGGTTTTGAGATCTTCCTCTGGTTCTTGAGAGACTTCTGGAAGAGCCTTAGCTTCCTGAACGCCTGTAACCGCTGGCTTTTGATCGAGTTCAAGCAGATCCTCTACCTTTTCCTCCGCTTTCACCGCAGTAGTCTCTTCTTGGACCAAAACAAGAGCTGCCTCCACTACCTCATGGACAATTTCCTCGGCGGCAGCGGCCAGACTCTCGGGAGTTTCCACTTCGATAACCCCTGGCTCTGAATTGGGTTTCTCCCCCTTGGGTAGTTCATTATTATTGGTCTCTGTTTTGATTTCACTGGCCGTTTCCGCTTCCGTGGCATCGATCACCTTGTCGATGAGTTGCTCGACAATATCCCTAACGGCCAGTGCCACAGGATCCTCAGCTTCCGCTTCCGTTTCCCTTGCCGGTTTGGTTTCGGTATCGGAAAGCTGGAGAAGATCAGCCTCTGGCGTTTCCACAATAATGGGCTCGGGACTAGCGCTGATTTCGGCCAGCTTCTCGTTGTTGTTCAGCTTGTTGGCTGCATCTTCAGTCTTTTGATTGGTTGCTACTACGGGGCTGGGGACTATGGGGCTTGGCTTGGCCGTTTCCGGTGTTTCCACTTCCGGTGTTGCTCCCTTTTCCGCTACCGTTTCCGTTTTCCGTTCCTCCTTGGGCGCCAGTGGGCTGCTGCTCACGATCTCATTGGCATTGACCTCCGTTTCCGTTTCCGCTCCCACCGTCGCCGTCGTCGTGGTCGTGGGCTCTGTGGGCGTGGCACTCGGACTATTGTTATTATTGTTATTATTATTATTGTTGAGCAGATTCTTGCTGTTCAGCAGGCTAACATTAACATTATCCTGCCCCACGGACTGTTCCTTATCCTTATCGGCCTGGGATTTCTTTTCGTTGTTAAGGACACCCTGAACAACTTCGTTGACCGCCAGTTCGATCTCCTCGTCCTTGAGGACAGACGATGACTCCTGCAGGACATCATCGACGGCCATTTTGCAATCGTTGAGTGCCGCCTCGGAGGCCTGAAGAACTCGCGCCACATGCTGTTCCGCATTGAGCGAATCCTTGGCGGTGGCCAGCTCCAGTTCCTCGACATCCATGTCATCGCCCAGCTGCAGGGTTTCCCTGAGGGCTCCCAACGGAGATGCTTCCGGTTGCTTGGACTCGAGATCTTCAACAAGTTCCTGAATCTCAGAGTCCTCCTCTTTGACCTCTTCCAGATTGCCATTGCATGTGGCATCGGTTTTGATCTGCTCGTTGTAGACATCGGAAATATTGGCTATCACGGATTTCGGTTCGGCCTCTTCGATGATGGGACCCTCTTGGATCTCCACCTCCTCGAGTTCCAGTTCCTCCACCTCCTCCTCGACCACGGGCGGCACATCCTCCAGCGAGGCAATGGAAACGGCACCCTTGACCGCTCCGGCAGCTCCTTGCTGATTTGGAGCCACTGCTGCTGCAGCGGATCCACCATTCTGCTGCTGATGCAGCTCCTCCCGTTCCCAACCACTGATCGTACTAATGGGCCTGGCCTGACGCAGGGCGGGATCTGTGATATTATCCGTACGCTGGCGTTCGTAGTGCTCGTACATCTGGGCAAACTGGAGTTTGAACTCCTCGTACGACACCTTCGAGTGGACAATGGCGAGGGTATCTACCCAAACTCGCCAACCGCCATACTCATGCTTGATGGCATGATGGAGCAGCATGCGGAACAGGGAGTAGACCATGTCGCTAATCTTCTGCTCTTCGCTGCTCTTTGGATGGATGTAGGCCATCGCAATGAGCCACTCCTGCCACACGGACATTTGGAGCACGGTGCGTCGGTTCTCCCGATTACTGTTGCACAACAGGGTCATATCCTGCAGGAACAGCTTCTTCACATCGATCAGGGACTCGGTCTGCTTGGACTGCCGAATCAGGGTGGCCACCACCTTGAGGATCACTGGATGGGCAAAGAAAATGATATTATAAATAAGGGGAAATAAATAATAATAATAAAGAAAATAAAAAAATCGAATTTCGAAGAATTTCAATTTTAAGGATTACTTAAACAAAATATCATATTATTATATAAATATATATCAAGCATATTTTTAAATATATCTAAATATGAATCAAGATAAATATTATTTCTAATATATTAGGCAGTGTTCTCCTTAAAAGTTTTCATTAATTGTATTGTAATATTGTGAATATTATTTAAATTAAGATTTAATATTTCAAAAATGTTTTGTTTTTTAAGTAAAGAATAGAAATATTTGAAAATGATACTATTTCCTAAAGAGATCCCTTCACTTACTTGGATTCTCCAGACGGTAGTGACTCTCCGGTTCCGGATGTCGTGTGTACAGGATCTGTTGCGAGATGTGCTCCGTCATAATCTCGTAGAGGACATTGTATGTGGGCAGGGAGAGAGACTCCTCATAGAGGAGCAATCGTTCCGCCAGCAGTGTGTACAGATTGTGTGGCGACATCACGTCGTACTTGCGTCTGAATGGGAGAAACCAAGAGAGAGTAAGGAATATTTGGGTTAGATTAATACAGAAACATAATAGAATTTTCACTGTGCAAAATTGTGTGTTACTCAAAACTACTACTAATACTCACTTGTGGGTACTTCGCGAAAGGAAGAAGCCCAGCAATTTGAGGGCCTGCAGTCGAATCAACTGACTCTCGGCCGCCAACAACTTGAAGATGCTGCGCACACCGTGCTTCACATCGAAGGCAGGTACCATGGAGCTGGGATGCTCCGACATCAGCGAGATGAGCATCTGCAGCACGTCGTGCAGGTTCTCGTCCTGAAAGTTGCAAAAATAATATTGGAAAATCGTTTAAATATATTTTTGTAGTATTTTTTTAAAGACAGCTAGACCCACCTCGTGCATGGTGGTCAGATAGTTAAGTATGCTCTGCAGCTCGTCCTCCTTCACGCCATTGCCGATCATGATAAGCTGCTTGAGGAACAGCAGGATGTAGGCCCGAATGGCCAGGATGTCCTTTTGGGCCGGACGAGGTCCATCTGTTGGCAGAAAGGCAAAACCAAAAAAGGTCATGGTTGCAGTATATTTAAAGAAATATTTTTTAAAGATTTTTCTTAGAAATATGTTTTACTTAGTTTATATATAGAAAGTTCCAATGAAATACACAAGATTTGATTTTAGTAAAATCATATAAGGTAGGTAATACGTTTTTCCTTAATTCTGTACTTTTGTGGGACTGAAAATATTATATTTTTATTTTAAATAAATCACTTTAAATATACAATGTATCACTATAAATATACAATGTATTTTAGGGTAACCATGATAACAAAGCCTCCCAAAAATTAAAAAAAAATCATATAATTAGTTTTAATTCCATATTTTGTATGGAGTTTCTTTAGCTTGAAAACTAAGCCTATACCCAAAACAAAAAATCCATATAATAAGTTTTAAAGTGTCTGAGTTTACTAAATTCAATTTAGTTTGAAGTTTTTTTTGTAACCAAAATCTCTAAAAATAGTACGGAAAATGCTAGAAATCTCTGAATCTAGGGAATATCTGCTTCGCTACAATTACTCACCCAGTCCCTTCGGTATGATGCCGCTTTTGGCCCGCGGATTGACCACCCAGTAGTAGTACTTCAGGGTGTGCACCGTCTGCAGGACGGTGCTGACCCTCCTCACATTGCTGTAGATCTGCGTGTCCGAGAGGAACTCGGTGGCCAAATAGGAGTACAGTCGCGCCTGGACATTCGCGGGTGTGTATATCCACAGGGCTGGATTGAAGAGGACATGGTCCAGCAGCTGCCACGTGAGAAACGAGAAACAGAACAACTGCGGGGAATTAGTCAAGTAACTTATGCTGTCCTCTCACATTTCGAGTGGGTGACTTTGCCTCGTGGCAACAGAAGAAAAGATTGTGGGGGGTTTGGCTCGGAAAGGAAGGGTGTGTGTGTGTTTATAAATAGATTTTCAGATAGATATAGTTTATAGATAGATATAGGGATAGGCAAAGAGGTTAAAGCGTGTGGATATATTAAAAAAGGGGGGCAAAGGAGTGCAGGTTTTAAGAATATGAGATTGATTTCGGTATACATACGGTTAAACATGAGTTTCGGTTTTTATATTATTGTTGTCAAGGTTGTTGTAGTTGATGTTCATTTTTTTGTTTGGGTAGTAGTAGTAGTAGTACATATTTTGGGGTAAAACAGGTAACACATGCAGCAAACAGCATAACGGCAATCAACGAACATAAAATCAAATTCCAACGGAACGGAATGGAACGGAACGAAATGAAACGAAACAAACAATTGCATTCCGGTATTCATGAGGTTAGCTTCAAAAGTTAGGGGTTAACACTTAACTAAACTAAATTAAACTAAAACTAAGTCTAGGCTAAGCTAGGCTAATTAAGGTAATGGTTAAGTTAAGTTAAGTTAGGGTTAAAATTATTTGAGTAAATAACACAGTAGGTTTATTAATGTATATAATTTATGACGGCGAAATGATTGGATGTTCTTCTTCTTTGGGACTATCCTCATCTCAATATTCGTATCATATCAATGTTATAATCCCTTTATAACCGACAGCTTTATAACCTAAATCCCAATTTTCACTTTTAAATCTCTTTTACCAAAATAGCAGTCAGCTTCAGCCATTAAGCGTAGTACTAGTAAGTGAAACTTCCAGTTGGCTTCATAACAGACCAGTAGTATATCGCCTGAAGAGTCACTTAATGGATGCTATTAAAGTGTGCAGAATATTTGAGTGTAATCCTGTTAAGGGCAACTTCCGGCGAGTGGGAATCGCTTTGCAATCCGCTTTAATTTCATTCATCAGCTTTTGGCCGGGCCCAAACAAAACTTGTTAAGCCATCGCCTCAACTTGTTGGATTGTCAAAACCAGTGTTCGCCAATGTTGTTGCCATGGCTCTCTGGCAACAATGCAACAAGGTTTTCACACCCCTTAAAGCCCCCCTTGCCTGAAAGTCCCTCAACAAAACCAAACCCCACTCGAGTACTGCCAGAGAAGTTTCCCAATTAAAAAGCTGTGCACCGAATGTAAAATAAAAATGCAACCAGCACCCCTAAAGGTGCCACGAGAAATATTTTCAGCTTTTCAACTCTTCGTTTTTTCTTTTTCTCGTTCTTTTTTTTTTTTTTTGCTACCAGAAATTTATTCATTTTGCGGAGGACAAGGGAGAATCGGATTGTGGAATGGTACGGTTTGGTATGGTATCGTATGGTATGGTGTATATATAAAGGGATTGGAGATATGCGAGGCGAGCAATTAGGAAGATGCGATGCGGTGCTGTGAACACAACTTTCGCTTCAATTATCCAAATGACACATTGAACAAATTGAGTGAGGAACGGAGTGTGTGTGGGGTGAAAAATGTGGTAAGGGTCCAGAGAGAGCTTAAGCAAAATCTGAGGTTGACGTTGGGGTTTGTTTTTTTTGTTTTTGAGGGGGAGGGACTTTGAGGTGGCGCTCAAGGTTCCCCACAAAGTTAATAAGATTATGCGGTTTATCGTTGCGGTTCTGCGGTTATACAAAGCGTAACGGAACAGAATGGAATGAAGAGCGAATGGAGTTGGCTATATAAAACACATATATAGTACACAAATCGATGAATATGGTCGGGTATGATGATGAGATGGGAGTTTACTTTTATATGTACAGTTGATGTTCAACAAATTACGCTAAACACAGACACAAAATGAAACGAAACGTTATGAACAGTGGAACGGAAACGGAAACACATATGTTACACATATATTGGATATAGTATTTGGAATATATGCAAGTACAGAGAGTACAGAGAATTCGAGAATTGAGCTTCACCTGGTAGAACTGTTGTTGTTCATGTTGATTTTAATGTTGTTTTTAGTTCGGTTGTTGTTGTTTATTTATTGTTGTTGTTGTAGTATTTATGTGTGATTTGAGTGTTTGAGTATTGATGAGGCGCATTTTAATTGAGTTATCGATAAACGATCACAATAGTAAGAAGCGGGGAACGATTGAAATGGACAAGCGATCATGAGTGTGGAACGTGTGGGAACGGTGGGCGTGGCAGGAGACACACAGAGAGAGATAGAGAGAGAGAGAGATGGCAGGGGAGAGATAAATAGAGAGTGAGAGTGAAAGAGAGAGCAGACAAAAGTAGAAGAAGACAGTTAAGTTGTAGTTAATATTTGTTCTTCTTTTTGGCTATTCATTTGTCTTGCTGATTTCTGGCTAGGGAAAGTATTAATTTTGATTAATCTCATTTATGTTTTCGAGCTGATCAAGCGAATCGAAGCGGTGTGCCCAGGCAGGTGCAAAGTGCAAGCGAAACGAAACGGAATGGAACGCAAATGGATCGAATGGCGGCAACTGATCGCAATCGGAACGCAAGAATGGAACAATTTGCATTAGGCCAATCGAAAAGCTTCCTCGAAGCACATCACATGCAAATAAACAGTGTGCGAGTAATGCATGCAACAGTCTGGTAAAACTAAAATCCGGTAAAATATTCAATGAAAGGCTGTTACTAATAATCTTCAACATTGAACTCAAGTATAATAAAATTAAACATGTTTAAAATAAGACACTCTTGTTGTTTGTAACAAAGTAATAAACTCAAACTCTGTTTAGTTTGTAAACTTATAAGAAAATCAATCAAAAGCCACTTCCTTCAGTTTTCATACTCCACTCAGTCTTAATAATAGAACAAAGACTTTGCTCTACCTTTAAACTAAGCGGGTTATAGAATTCAATGGGCAACCAATGGGAAATTGTGGGGAAGATATATCCTCCAGGTCGCACAGGCTGGCAAATGGCATAAAACAAACATAAATATGCCGGAGATACGAATATATACATATATGTAAGTATATACATATATCATGTGGGTGGATAGACGTTGGATGCTTGTGAGTATATGCGAGTAGTACGAGTACGAGTACGAGTACGAGTATATTTGCTTAAGAGATTCTCAAGTGCAGTTACTTATAACAAGAAATGTGAGCAGTTGTTTACGGTTGTGTTTACTTTTTTGAAAGGATTACGCAGGCCTGTGTTCAACTGTGCGCCATCATCATCATAACCATCATCATCATCATCAAATCATCATCAACAAAAGGCAAAACACAGTGTGTGCGATAGATAGAGTTGGATGTATAAATATATGTATGTATATTTGTGTGTGTGTAGAGAAAGAGAGAGATATAGAGACAGAGAAAGCAACAAACGAGACGAAATCGCATATCATTTCTGGGATTTTCTTTTTTTTTCTGTGTTTTTCTTTTCCGGTGAGATGGGTTAACATGCCACCCGAAGAACAATCGATGGGTTGGGTTTTCATTTTGTTTTGGTTTTTTTTGTTCCATGTCGGGTGTAAACGAACAACAAGAACGCCTAACAAAGTTGTAAATCAAATTCGCAAGGATATTTTCTGCTGAGGGGCGGGCTTTTCGCATGCTTAACCACCCCGCAAAAAGAAAAAAAATAACTGGCACTTAGATCGAACTTAGTTATTATACATATGCAATATCATACATAGAAATACATAACACATTCATCACAACAGAACACGGCATGCCAATGACATTGCGAATACGCAGCGTGGTCCGCAATGCAACCGATCGTTCCTCCTTATTTATACATATGTATATATATATATAGTATATAACGAATTGGCAGGCATTTGGTGGATTCACCGCCGACTTACCTGCTTGAGCAGCAGATCACTGTTGGCCGACAGGCAGGTGACCAGATACTTGGTGAGGTTCAGGAAGGATCCCAGGACCTCGAGGGTGAGGTGTTCGCGGGAGGAGCGCTGCAGCATGAACGAGATGACCAGGAAGCCCCGGTTCTGGATCATGTGCTGCTGCACCGTCTGCGATGTTTCCACCAGTTCACAGATGAAGCCCAGCAGCTTGGAGCTGTGAGAGATGAGAGGAGATATGAGAAGAGTCCTTTAAAATATATTCTAAAAATGACTGATTGTCAATCGGAATCATCTATATTCTTAGATAAAAGAGATTCCTGAACAAAAAGGAAATTAACAAACCCAAAAATCGGAAAAACGATGACGTTACTTGAAATCACTTATAAAGGTGTCTGAAAGTATGCAACATTATATTATTATTCCGAAAGTTCGATGGATTCATTCCAAAAGACCACGTAATTTTGATTGCTGCATACTTTTAGGCACTTTTATAAAAGTTTTTCGAAATACTGGTGAAATCTGTGTTACCATCAATAGACTTGTTTTGAAAGGTATCAAAATACTACTAATAGAGTAATCGTAGAGCTTTTAAATGGTATTGGATGGTTTATAAAACGATACATAGAACTATTTATTATATTACATGCCTAGTAATCACTAACAGGCAGGTACAAATCACTTGAATGATATGATATGTTCTACACATATTAGAACCCAGATTTCTTGGATATTTCTCACTCACCACAGCGTGGGATCCCGCTTGATGTCGCCCAGACCCTCGTGGGCCATGTCCAGCTGCGAGAAGAGCGGGAACAGCACCTGGATGCCGCCAATCGAGTTGAGGGTGCAGTGTATCGAGTGCGTGACCACGGCCTTTACATCCTGGAAAAGCAAAAGCAAAAACAAAAGTAAAAGCAAATTTCAATTTAATCAGAGGTCTATTAATCGCCTAAGCTGTCAACAGTTTGGTATTCGGTATATTTTGCACAGGACACGTTCGCTTCGTGCTTCATGTTTCATGCTATAGGTCCTGGTGGTACCTGGCCCATCTTCCTTCTTATGATTTGTGTGTTGTTTGCCCAAGAAATTACTACAAAATTTATTGAATAATTTTGGGGGCCAGAGGGTCGCCTCAGCAGCATCGTGTGCTCTCGCTCCTGTATTTTCTGACCTTTTTGTGGGCTAATAAGAAATGCCAAGGCATGCGCTGGTGTCGTAAAATTTTCTGCATTGAATTTATGCTCCCTGGGAGGGCTTATGAACTATGAACCAGCGCCCACCTTTTCACCTTTTAGATGTTTTTTCTTTCCCCCCCCAGTCATTTACTCACCTGCAACATCAGCGCATGCGGTGTGTGCACGAAATATGAAACGTTTCCCTTGGGCGACGATTGCAGACACAATTGACCATCGGTGGCCACCGGATTGTACATGAACACAATGGCATTCGATAGTTTGCCATCGTACAGGACCTGTGGTAGGCAACACAAAAAAATACGAGAAGATGGTTTTAGTCAGTTGGTTGGAATGATCTGGGGAAATATCTGGGGGGAGGGAATCTGGGGAATAGGAGGAGTGTGTATATACTATATATATATATATGGCAGGGATTAGCCCGGGCTTTCGGCGAGTCATCGAGTGGCATCGAGCTGGGCACTGAGGATGGACTCCATGGACCCCATGGACTCTCCATGGTCCAAAGATTTGTCCTCAGTTATTGCAATTTACTTAGGCTTTGTCTTTAGCTTTGCTTTTGGCTTTGGCTTTGGCTTTAAGCTGGCACACAAAATAAAAAAGATAAAAACACACACAGCAACACACAGCAGACAAGAAAAGCACGTTTCCAAGGAAAAGTCAAGTTCGAAAATACCCAATAGAGTTAAAGTAGCAAGAACCAAAGTAATATATACAAAACTTGAAAAATTGGTATAATTAATAATTTAATAAATTCAAGGTATTCAAAAATGAAAATAGCAATGTGTAAGTAAGTTCTGAATAAAAGAAAAACATTTTATGTACAGCTCTTATATGAAGTTCTAGTTCTTTGTGCTCTGATAAATTCTGTTAAAATCTATAAGAAACCCTGTCAAGTGAAAACATTTTTTCCACACATGTACAAAACACAGACGGCACTGTGTGTGTGTGTGTTTAATATAAACCTATTCAAATGCTGTTCAAGAATATATATACAATATATACACAGCACGCATCGTTGCATTTCTGCTACATTTTCGGGTATAGATTTTCCTCGAGCTTCGAGTTTTCATCATCTTTTGTGCATTTTGGCAGTGTGTGTTGTTTGTTTGTGTGGGCCATACATGTAAGCTGGTGCTTATATAATTATAATATATATTTTCGGCTGCCTAATTTGCTGCTAAAAATACTTCTTTGTAATAATCCCAGGAAAAGCAAATAATCAAGAAATTAGGCAAGCAAAAAAATCACTTTGAAAGGGAAATATAATAGGGATTAAAAACCATAAGAAATAAATAAGATATAAACTAAAATATCTAAAATGTAATGTATATTTTTTTCATTTATTAAAATTGGAAAGTACTTAAATACAAAATATGAATAGCTTTAAGCTTTAATTTCTACTAGTTGAATGAGCGTTTCTTTAACATTTTCTTTCGCGTCACAGTTTTCTTCTACGGATCATAACTTTCGTCCACCTATTTTCCTCACCATTTTCCTCCTTAAAAGCGCAATATTTGTGTGTAAATGTGATTGCGTGTGCGCGAGTGTGTTACTGTGTTGGTGTGTGGCCGTGTTTTCCCATCCCATTAACTCAACTCCCGATTTGGCACATAAAAACAACATTCAAAATAACTAAAGCACTCACTTTTCCGACCCCCATTCCACCAACCACTCCCCCAGCCCATGGAAAATGGCATAATACCTGGCACAGGTGAGTTTTGTGGGGGGTGGCAAGTAAAAAGTGGGTGGGCTGTCTACATAATAGCTGTTTCGGGTCCTGAAATGTGGAGCAGCATACAGCACACACACACACACAGGCATAGAAAATGTTCTAGCGGAATATGGAACATGCGCGCCCAAAGATTTCCAACAATCTCCGGTGGGCGGTGGGCGTTCGGTTTTTTGGCCTTACATGTTCGCCTTTGTCTACCGCCAGTTGGGTATTTTCTTTTTTTTGCATTTTGTTTTCTTGGGCTGACGGTGTTTTGAGACACCTGCCCAGGTATACGCTACATTTACTTCTACTCACTGAAAACGGGCAAAAACTTTGCCACCTCTGACTTTAAAAAAGAGAGGTATATACACTTGAAACCAAACGTTAAGCTATTGATTTAATTGCTGCCGGTAACTTCTTAATTGCTCAAAGAAATTATAATAACTTTTTCTCTTTTTTTTTTGTTTATAACAGGAATACTCGGAATGTATATAGAACTACAAATTGTTATAATTTAAATGTTGGCGGTAGAATTTGACATAAGTTAACCTTCAGGAAATATTAGCAAACAGACAATTTTAAATATTTAATGAACTATAGAGGTCATTAAAAATATTTAAACAGATTATTTGATGGTGCCACACAAACCACTTTATTTTTGAAATCACTTGTATATATTATTTAAGTGTCTAAAAGTATGCAGCAATATATTTTAAACTGAGAAGTACATTGAATGTATGTATGGACACGAATATTCTTTATTCACTGCATATTTTTAGGCACCCAAAATGACATTAAAAAGTTATTTCAAAACCCAAGTGACCCCTACTAAATTAAAATTACTAGCCAACCCTACAACAACTGGCCTTACTTTTCAAACAAAGTGAAATATGAAACAATAAAAATTTAATATCAAAATGAAAAACAAAATGAAATGTAATTGAAATAAAGTTTGCTTACAGCTTTCAGCTGGTTGACCTCCTCAGTGTCGGCGGTTCCCAACACTGAGTTCAAGCTGCTCACACTGGACATTCGACGGAGTTGCTCTATTGGTTTGCGGTGACCAAATGAAAAGTTAAATACAAATTATAATTAAAAATTAAAATGAAAAATTGAGGCAAATGAAAACAAAGGAAGAGTGTAAATACCAAAAGAAGAAGCATTTCCGGTGGGCAAATGGCCGAGCGGATCGTCAGCGTTGCCAGATGTTGTTGCATGTTGCTGCTGTTGTACCGCTGCTGCTGCTGCTGCTGCTGCTGCATCGTTTTCATTTTGTGTTGCCGCTGTGGCAGCAGCAGATGTTGCTGCTGCAGTAGTTGCTCCTGCTCCAGCTGCTGCTGCTGCTGCTGCTGCAGTGGGGGTGCTGCCACTGCTACTTCCGGTGACCGCCAAGGTCACTGCATTGCGTGCGGTTAAGACCGCTCGAATTTTCACAAATGCCGCATTCAAATCGAGTTTCTCATCGGACCAATCGATCGCCCGCGCCTCCTGTTCGGCGGCCAGCGTTTGGAATTGCAGCTGCAACTGTTGTTGCTGTCCGGCGGCAACGGCTGCTGCCGCCGCTGCTGCCGCATCGCTACCGCTTCCGGTGCCACTCCCACTGCCGCCCGGCAGTGCTGACGCCCCCAAGGTCGCTGGCAGAAGTTGAAAGTGACTCACCCGCTTGTGATTGTCCGGCAGATTTAGATAGCACTCGTTGTCGAACCGGAACTGCGACTGTTTTTTTTTTTTTGGTTTACACACAGTGTTTGTTTCGGTGTTTGGTGCATTTTTTTTTTTAGCAGTGCATCGGACAGGAAGTTTAAAAAACACGGAAAGAGAGAGAGAGAGAAAAAAAAGAGCAAAAAATAAAGAATATATATATATATATGTATATATATTTAAACGAATTACGTTATTCTGTACAGACGAGAACATTTTTGCTGCGGCATTTCGGCTGTGCAAAAGTGGTGCAGTGGTGCGTGCGCTTGACCCTCGCTGCCGATGGTTGGGTGGGGTGGGTCATTAGGTCACCAGGTCACGAATGCAGCCAACCAAATAACCCAGCCACCCACCGAAAAACCTTATAACCATCGCTACCCACATCGCATCACACTTACCTTGTAGCCGGGACCCAGGCGGTGCATCGCACAGATCTGCTGCGTGGTCAGGGCCTCGCTGAAAAGGTAGATCGCCGACATTTGGCCACAGAACACGCGCTCCTCGTCCAATTCGGGGGTGGCTCCAATGTAGCACTTGTCAAAGGGCTGGAAAGGGGTTGAAAATTGGATAAAAAGGGGTCGAATTTCAAGCAAAAGGCATTCGCAACTGAATTCGCTTTAAAAAGCACCGAAAAGTATGCAACAATATATTTTGGGTATGGCAATTCCACATATTTATTATATCACAGCATGCTTTTAGACACCTTTCGAAAAGCTTTTAAAATAAAAGCAATTTCGCTTTATAAATCATCTGAAAGTATGCAACAATATATTTAAAGGTTAGAAATTCACAATTTTTATTATTTCACAGCATAATTTCAGATACCTTTGTAAAAGATCTAAAAATTCAACTAATTTCTGTGGCATTCCCTATACAATATAAAGTATACCACAAAGTAAGTAATATCTAATCCAAAAAACTATAAAAAACAGCTATCATCTTTATATATTATTGAAACCATTTAAATAATAAAGCTGCATTTTATTGACACGTAACCTCATAATATTCTAAGCATAAATGGCTGCCTGCTTATCACAACAGACAACACAACTCAACACGTTCAATAAATATTTATCGAAATGATATGCTATTGAGATGTCCATGGGTACTCACATCGTTTGTGGAAACAAACCAGGCCATCTCAGTTGAAGAGGCCAGCTGTCCATTAACGAGGCACTTGATTTCGCTTTTCGTCCAACGATTGTATATATACACTATGGCAATCATATACCACTGAAATGGATACAGAAAAGCGAGACAGGCGTCAAGGCAAATTCAAGTGGTGAGTGTAGTGGGGATTATCTTACCTTTCGTGGCTGGAATTCGTATTTCACACAATGCTGAAAGCCCTTGCCCTTGACCTTCATCGAGGTGAGGACGAGGCAATTGCCCACAAAATGCGCCGTGTAGCCCACACCCTTCGATGTCTTGAAGCTGGAAATATTTGAGGGGGAAGTTTATTTAGAAATACAAATATATCGATTATCGATTAACTTCACACCGATAAAAAATAATGCAACATTGATTATTTAGATGGTAAGAAATAAAATAAACAAAAAACATATATATTTTAGGTACTTTAAGCCTAGAATAATACTCACCAGTACAGGTAAGGCTTCTCCCTTTCGATATTCACCGAATTGATGGGATCCAGCCGAAACCAGGTGGTGAAGGTGAATCCATTCTCATAGGGCCATTTGGCCAACGGCGGCAGGACCATGGCCTATAAAAGTGAAAACCAAAAACCAATTAAAACCAATTGAAGTTAAACCGCAAATGTTATGTTAAATATCAATTAGAGTTAGGTTAACCCTCGGTTTGATTGGGAAATTAACATTAATAAGCCGCATAATTGACTTTGCATTTAGACACAAATAACTCTGAAAATTCCCAAAGGCCTCTCTCTCGAATTCCGTACCCCAAAGCCAAGCTGTATATAAATCACAGAGGGAAATACTTTTGACTGGCTAGGAAACTTGTGGCACATTCCGCATCGAAACACAAACTACACACGAATGTATTTCCTGTGGCAACCTCAAAACTCAAAGCAATACCAGAATCCAGAAGCCAGAAATGCAAAAGGAAAGGAAAGGAAAGCCAGTTGGAGTTGCAGAATTCAACAGAAGAAGCCGCAAAATAGAAATAAACTGAAATTAAAAGGAAATGAGCACATTTGATTTATCATCAATTCTGTGGCTTAACGTCTGGTCGACGATGTTTTGCCAAAGGAAAAATGGATAAATTCAAGATGAAAGCAACTACTACTATCTTATATTAAAAGTGCAATTTTGCTGGCAGTTCATAAATTTAATACACTTCACTTTGTCTGTCTCGATAATTCTGTGGAAAATACCATTATATTATTTCTCTCTTGAAATGCCATTTGACATTATCCGCTTGAGGCATCAGTTTGGGTAATTCATCTCGCATCTGATAACAAATATTTATGCATTTGATGGCCAAGTCACTCATTGTTTTCCCTTTGAGACAAGTTCTTGGAAATAATCTATTAGCCCTATGTTGGGTTTAAATAATTGACTTTGTTGATTGCTTTCAACTAATATTTCATACTAAAATGTTGTGAATTGGCTTTTGGAACTATTTGATTGATTTCAGTTGACCCTTATCTTAATTGCTATGGAAATTTATTTCGTTTTGAGGAGTTTCTTCACTTTGAACTCTATTAGTTCGTTTAATTAAATTTTTCATTGTCAACTGCCTGGGTTAAGTATTTATTTTTAATGCCTAAAATTTGGGCTTCAGCTCTAGATTGGTTTTCTCTAATTGTCTTAATAAGTCTTAATTTCGGGATTTTCTGCTTTATAATCTTAGATTGTGACTTATTATTTGAGCAATTACCTAGGTTGACCTAAAATTTTAATTGATTCCTTAAGATTTATTTTACCTACTTATTTGTTGAGTTATTTGCTCTGTTTTCAGTTTATTAAATCACTTGCTTGCTCTTGAACTCTGTGCAACTATTAAACCCTGTCGCAAAGATCAAATTTCATTTACTTTGCACTTATCTAGTGGTCTCGCCTTTTCGAGTGGCAAGTTGGGACATGGAGACCACTTTTTGGGGGCCCAGAAGAGACCGACGGGACTAAATGGGTTAAGGCCAGGCGGACGTGACAAAGGCTGACACTGTTGTTGGAGTTTTGCTGCGGTTGCAGGCAACTTTGCACCACACACACACTCTCTCTCTCTCTCCACATTTTCCCCAATTTTCCCCCATTTCCCGTGACAGTAGTGGGTAAGCGCGGGGCACAGGAAGCTGAAATGGTGCCCTGGTGATTTTGGGTTTTGGCTTTTCCGAAAATCTCATTATTCGAATCGAGTCCCGTCGTCATCCTGTTGCAATCAGCACCATCAATGGCATTAGGCGTGCTTGTGGATCGCAGATCGTTGGTTAAGTGGGGCGTATGGTTGCTTTTCTCCCCTCGCAAAAAGCTGGCTAAACGGAAAATTAAAAAAAAACCCCAAATGCGTGAAAAGTCCCAACGCAAAAGCAAAAAAAAAAAAAAAAAAAAAAAACCGAAAATGAGAGGAGATTGCGCGGTGGATTTCATGTGGATTGAATGGATGGATGGATGGATAGATGGCTGGGTGGTTTCTGTTGGGTATTTTTGGCTGGGTGGCACCCGTCTATTTATTAGACATTTTGCGACAATTGCGAAACGCTATCCATGCAATACTCACATTTGACTTCCAATTCACTTTATGGCATTTTTTATGTGTTTATGGGGCGATGGACACATCGATAGAGTGCTCCTCCCCCCACAAAACACAAAAAAAAAGAAACGTTAAACATGGGAGTGGTCAAGCTCATAGATAACAAATACAGGAAAAAATACACACTTGCACACATCGGAGCTTGACTGGGGAAAAACACATTTCGAATTCGTTTTAAGTGCGACGCAATAAAATAAAAGCCCCCGGAAATGTCGACGGAGGAGCATCGCCGAGGGACCTCATCCTATATCGACTGTGCTGGGTATATATGGGCCTTTGTTCCTTTGCCAGTTGCATTCAATAAAAAAAATTCTGGCGAATTGCATGGCCTCAATATTGCAAAAAAAAAAAAAACGAAGAGAAAAGCGGCTAGCGAACCTCCAATATGAAGCACAAACAAGTAAAAGGAAATTTATGTGGCTCTAAGTCAAAACTACATTTATTAAAAGGGTATACCTATGTATCTTAACCTTTTGGATTTGATTTTAATAATGAAACAATTGGAGGTATTTTTTGGAGTTTCCTTAACTCAAATTTAAAATCATTAAGAAAAGTACCTAAAAGTAGGCAATCTTATTTTAATATAAAAATGCAGCATACTTTCTGGCACTATTTTAAATTGATATCAAATCACCAAATGTAAATAAAAAAAATCTTTAAAAATCCATGCCTTTATGCTTGAGAGGTTAACTTTTAAAGAGCTTCTCTAATTCAGACATAAATTCTTGTGTTATACATATTTGTTTATGGTCATCCCCCATCTATCCTGTCTATTAGCACTCACCGATCCCTTGCGGCCCGGAAAGCTGAAGAACACATCCGGTCCGTTGCGATGTGGCATCTGCCGGAGGACGTTCAGCAGCTTGGCCGAGTGACGCGGCCACTTGCCATTGGTGGCCTTCATCGTCCCAAAGAGCAGCTTCAGCTCCTTCACCGTTATGCTATAGCTGGCCAGGACGCCCAGCATCTCGATGAGAAGATCTGAAAGTATATAGAGGTGGGTGGAAATGGAAAAGGGGTCAGTGTCAGTGGCAGATACACGTTTATGCAATCTATGTCGGGAGTTTATGAAACGTAAAAGACTTAAATTGCTAGATACTGTGAATGATGGACATTTATAAACCTTATTTTCTGGGCGTTAAGGGTTTTTTTTATTATCTTTATCATTAAAATATATATATAGTCAGACCCTCGAAACTAAAAAAGTTAAATTTATTAAATTTCGTATACTGTATTGTATTATTGTTTTAGGTATTTGGGGTAATTTGGGGTTTCCAATTAAAATATGTATGACCTTTTTCTTGATTTTATTATTGCCGGCATAAACAAAGTTTGCAATACCGAGTTATCCAAGCTATATGTCCGATCCATTAAATGCGGAAAGGCCGGAAATGGGTTGAAGGCCTAAAGGATGTGTATAAATGCACCTGACAGCCTGCCAAACTCAACTAAGTGTGTAGGTGTTCGTGGGTGTTTGTGGCAACAATCAAGTTCCCGTTTTAGCTCAGGTGGCAAGTTGCAAATGCGAATGCAAATGCGAGACCGAATGCAAAGTCCTCGCGCTCATCCAAGTGGCAAGGACACAAGCTCTCATAGCGAATGCCAAAAGACCGAGGGGCGTGGCTGGTTGGTATGGGCGAAGGTGGGCGTGGCCGTGGCAAGGCCATCTTGGCTATATTGCATTAGATTTAGCATTGCCATTGCCAGGCACGAAAAAACTACATGAAGGTCAGGAGGCCGCAAAAATTTGCCACATAACAGTGATATTTTTTGGCTAATAATTATAAAAAAAATCTTGAAAAAGAGATCTAGAAAAGTATTTAAATAAGAGGATATTTATATTTTGGAAGGATAAACACTTGCAGCATTATAAATGTAATAAAACAAGGCCTTGTCTAAATATCCCTGCAATTATTCTTGACTAAAAACTATCTACGAAATATTATTCAAAGCTGCTGCAGGACATTTAACTTCCAAGTTTCAATTGACTTGCAATATAAATTATGAAATTGTAATAGGAAAACTCCCATGGGGTTAAAAGTTTACGAACCGAAAACTACTTCCACCGTTCATCTATCTATGTCTTCAATGAGCCACGCGATGATGATGATGTTGTAGAAGATGTTCGTCCTTCTCGCTCACTCTCTCCCTTTCTATCTCACTCTGTTACAAGAAGTTTGGCCCTGTCTCGCTCCATTTTCGTCATCTTCCTCTTGTGAGGGATGCATTTTCAATCAAGTTTAGCCAAAAGCTTGGCCAAATAGTTATTAATTCCGGAGTTCAAGCTGATTGCCTCCGCTGGCTCTACCTCTCTCTCTCTCTCTCTCTTTCTCTGTGTGTCTCTATTGCGGTCTCGCCTACTCCTCCGCCCACTTGCCACGCCCTGTTCCCGGGGGGCGGAGTGGGGTCGTCTGGTTTTCCAACGACTACTGCGCTATTCCCAAACTTCATTTGTAATGCACACTAATTGAAATGGGACGTTCGGGCCGTTTTAATGCTCGGACTGTTGGCTTACCTTCTGTTCTGCCCTCTCACTCGCTCCCATATTGTCCTATATTTACCTCCCACCACCCACCTATACGCACACACACACACACGCAGGTTTCTGCACCGAAAATATTATATATTGTATATAAATCCATTTTATAAATTTAAGATACTATGTAGAGCTTAAACTACTAAATTTTCAGCCTTCAAATTGTTTACCAATATTCTTACTATGGTAAAGGTTTTAGCTAAGAATTGGTTTCGTCACCAGTACGAGTCATATTAGTAATATATTTTTGTTCTCAGCTTTTAAGGGACTGAAAGTTATATATTTTTAGGTCTAAGAAAACGTTTTGTAAATGATTTGTGACTTTGCTAACCGAATTTTGAAATCGCTGATGCTTTCGACTAACTGAACCATCTTCTAAACTATTTTATTTTTAAATACCCATTGGCCTGTCAATTATTTTTCAGGCCATTTTGGTTGTGTGAATTAAGAAAATGAGTAACCATCTTTGACAATATTTTATCGTTGAATACCCATTGGCCTATAATTTATTTTCCAGTGCATTCACACGATTCAACACGTTTTTGGTTGCGTGAATTAAGAAATTGAGTAACTCTGGCAAGTTGAACCTGTGGGCCACTGGTTGACCCAAGTTATCCGACCTCCAACCTCGAGCCTCCCAGCCCCCACCACTGCCCATTCCCCTGCGGCATTCCCCAGACGACAATGTCGCCCAGTTGGTCCCCAGTTGGTATTCAGCCCCCCTGGCTTTTCCCTCATTTTCCACACACTTTTTCCCTTCCAACGCCACAGCTTCATCAGCATTTAATTACATTTTCCTTGGCATGCCAAAGTTTTTACTGCCCCAACTCATCATCATCATCAGCAGCGGCAGCAAGAGAAAAATCAGCGAGATGAGGGATATATATATATATATATAAGTCCTGACATATATATATATAAAGAAACTGGAGAAGGAGAAAGAAGTGAGAGCGTTTAACGCAACAATTTCTTTTATCAAATTTTTGCGATTGCATTGCCGAGTTTTCAAGCACTTAAAGTTAAAACTCAGAAAACTGGGCAATGAATCTTGTACCACACCAGTTACAGATACGGATACAGCTACAGATACAGATACCCACTCATACGCAGACATGTACTGCTAGGTTACACATATATGGAATCCGAGAAGTTGCTACTCTAAGCTCAACTTTGCCCGAGACAACGAACTTTTAACTTATCTAATTTCTTGGCAAGTGTCACGTTTTGGCATTTGTCAGGTGACACACACACGCATACATATATATATATATATATATATAGTGTAACGGTGAAAGGGGGTAGGGATGGGTGGGGATAGATAGAAATGCCTAATACACTGGACGGAAAAAAGGTAATTTCTAGAAAAGAAATGACCAAATCCCTAGTGGTTATCTAAACACTTCAAAGGGTGTCTAAAAGTGTGCTATAGACTATCTCGTATTATAAATATCTTATGGATTCATTTCAGTATACAAGTAACGCATACTTTCAGTGTTTTTTATAAGTGAGAAGGCAGGTTTTAAACCTTTATATTTACTTTAAAAAACATTTAAAAAGAGCGTTAAGCTAAATGAAAGCAAATAAATTAAAAGTCTGCTTATAAAGTGTCGTATGTCTTTCCCTCAGTGTATGTATGAAATTATGTCTTTGTTTGCGGCCTTCCTCCCCTTTCTCCGCTTTCTCCCCTTTCTCCTTTCTTCGGGCTTTACACACACGCACACATGAAGCTCAAAAGTCAGCGACTGCAAATTGACAGCAGTTACAGTTCGTTAAATGCGGAATGAAGAAGAGGTTGGGAAGGTTGGTTGGGTGGTGCAAAAGTGGGTGGCTGGGTGGTATTTTGGGTGGTTAGTGGTGGGGTTGCTGGGATTTCGTGGAGACCGCAGATGTGTCATTGACTTAATAAAATCAAAATCAAAGCCAAAGGCACGCACATGCTTAAGGCATCATGTGTGTGTGTGTGTGTGTGTATTGGTGAGGGGGTGGGGTTGGGGTTGGGATTGGGGTTGGGGTTTTGTGGGTGGGGCAGAGGGTGGTGCAGGAGGTGGTGGGTGGTGGCCCAATGGGCGGGGCCAGCGTGGGTCGCTAATGAAGAGCAAATTTGCTGCCGAGCTGGGCCGTTCCATCAAAATCCCCACCCCCCATTTTCTCATGGCTTTTCAGTGGGTGGTTTTTGGGTGGTTTCTGGGTGGTTCGGTGGTTTTCCAAGGGGGGCGTGGAATGGGGGCACGCAACTGGGCGTGTCAGTGCTGCTGACAAGCGTGAAATTAATCGAGAGGCAATTCAGCGGACCAGACCAAACGCAAAACCGGAGTCAACTTGGCATCTATTCAGACCAGTCAAACAATGGCCGAAAAGTGTAAACTCCATTGTTCTGCGAAATGGAGAACTCCAAAATGCCCTGGCCAAAATTTTGATTAAGTACTGACCGAAAATGGTACGAATGCCTTTTATTATGCCTTTTGAGCGAGGAATCATTAAAGCTAGGAATTAGTTTCTATTGTTTTTCATTGAGTTGGAGATTTTAATTTGAGTATTTTTCTGAATATTTGTTTTCAAACAATGTTGGAAGAAAATATTTGAGTATTCAAAAAAGTTTTGAAAATGTACGAAAATAATTTAATTATTAAATATATAGTTAATAAGTATTACAAATTCAATCACAGATTATCTAATAAGTTATTATTTCACTGTCATTTTTTCTAAAATCATTTATAAAGATGTCTAAAAGTATGCAGTGAAAAGGAAACGTAGTCCCTGGTTATAAATACACAGGATTTTCGGATTAAACAATTTTGTTGCATACTTTTAGACACTTTTACAAGTGTTTTCGAATATGTAAATATTTAGAAAGATTTTCTCACCTGCCACAACCGTTTCGGAGCGCTGCAGGCGGACGAGGACATGCTCGATGAGGCCGACATCGGTGCAGGCCTGCAAATTGCGGACGCTTTTGCGCAGGATGGCAATGAATACGCTCCAAATCTCCGCCTGCAATTGGAAAGCAAACAAAAGAAATGCTTATTTTAAATGGCTATCAACAAATATAGAGATAAAGATTGTTTCTGTTTGAAGGAAGAGGAGGAGGAGGGTGCTGAAAAGCAGATCTCGAGAGAAAAAGTGTAGGGTGAAATCAAAGTATCAAGTGTATTGCTTTTGCCTTTTGCCCAGCTCAATAAGCAAAAGTAAAGTGGCTCACACAGATACAAGATTGCTAACACACTCACACTGGCACACACACAGATATACACACATACGGGGCAAACAAAGACAGGAAGTGGAAGGAAAGACCAAAATAAGCAGCTCACGCGCTCGAAAGTATGCAGCACTTATCTGCTGATTTTTCTCTCTTTCTCTTTCTCAAGTGTGCCTGTGTGCGTAAGAGTGTGCATGTGTTTGTGTATGTGTATGTGTGCCTAATGTAAACAGTCATTGAAATAAAGTAAAATAATGGAAAGTAATGGCAAAATAATCGCACGCCAAGACCGAGTTTTCCTCTTCGAATTTCGTTTTTCCTTTCAGCATTATTGCCTCAATTCTGGAGAACAAAAACAAAGCATTTGACGGTTTTTTATGATTATTGCCATTGGCACACACACAAACACAAACAGAAACACTCACATAAACACACACACAAAAAGATACATTTGCAGAAACTGAGAAGATTGCACATTGATTGGCAATTGCAGAGAAAGCGTTGCGAATATCGCTTTGAATATATATTTCTGTATTTCATTTATTTTCTGCCATTTCGATAATAAGAAAAAAATACACCGAATTTGTGGGGAATTTCGTGTGACTAAATACGTGAATAAATACAAAAGATTATGGCCTGTATAAAGTCTGGCATTCTTTTAATTTTAGTTAGCCAATTCGAAATATTCAATGCAAAATCTGTTTTTTACTCTTATAACTTGCACTAAAATTAAATTAAAAAATCAATAAATGTATCAGTGTTGAGTATTTAAATGGATTTTTTTTGAGAATTCAAATATTATATACATTTAGATTATTAAAGCTTATTTTTCCCAACTGTTGTAATGTTTTGCTTATTTATCCTTTGGTTATCAGTTTTAAAGGTCGTTTAACGCTTCATTTATCGCAGCTCGTATTTTTCCTGTATTCCAGCTACTTTTCTCCTTTTTGTTTTTCTAGTGTACTGAACACGTATAATTTAATTTACCGATTTATAAATTGCCCACAAAAGTTCATGCTTTTATGGGTTTTCCACCACATTTTCCCCCGGGGCTTGAAATTACACCTGGGATTTTGGAAAGCGGCTTTTGCCTATACAAAACGTACTTAAATAGCCAAAAATCAACGATGTACATACACACTATGTACTTTTGTGTGAAATCAGTAATACTCTCTCTGCATTTTAGTAACTGCACCGCAGGGCAATTGGTATTACCCAGGGTCCTTGGTCGTTTGCCAGCATTTTCCGCTTTCCCGGGAGTATTCTTCTTGCCCTTTGATTTTGGCCCTGATTTGCCAGATTCTCTCTGGCTTTCTGTTTGCCAAAAAACAACAATTTGTTGGCCAAAACTCATTTATTGCTGTTTGTTTAGCCATCGAAATTAAGTTTTATAGAGCTTGAATTGTTTAGGAATACATTTTAAAGGTTCTTAAATATAAAATTAATTTAACTGCGGTTTTGGTAATTTATGTTTATGATTTACATACATTTTAATCAAAATAATTGTGATAAAAATACATGATGGTATATTTTCTCAAGAGAGATTTATACTTTAAAAGTATTTCAATCTATTTGTTTATTTCTTTTTTTTGCTAAAAGAAGCTTTAATTATTTTTTAACCATTAATTCGTTGAAATTTACAAACAATTAAATCGAGTTGGTCTACTAAATAATTAAAATCTTCACATATTTTTTTTATTTTTCTTAAAGGTCTTAAATAATTTGATGTGGGATCTCTTTTTGCCCTATGAATAGGCTTATTCAGCATTTGCCTTTGTTATTTCGTGTTTATTTATTTTCTTTGTATTTTAGCCCATTTAATGTTTTGCTGCTGGCGAGATGAGAAAAACAACAGAACAAAAGTTGATTTGACGCCGTTGCGTTTTGTTTTTGCAGCATTATTTCTTAATAAGCGCCAAGCGGGGATTTTCCAGCGGCTTCCCCGTGAATTTTCCACCACCCTCGTCTTTTTTTTTATCCCCAACCAAATCTCCTCGAACAATTTGCTCCCCATTGAGGAGGAGAGATGGGGGAAGAGAGGTAAAGATAAAGAAAAAATTAAATAATAAGAGTAGAAACTTCAGTCAGATTTTATTACGTAATTGGGTAGCAATTTCTTCATGGCCCTGCAACAACAACAAGAGGGGCCAGAGTTGCCACAGCCACTGAGCACAAATTAAATTTGGCCTTTTCTACGCCACCCTGCTTTCCACCAAACCACCCCCCCCCCCCTGTCATTTTTTTTTTATCTGTCTCTCCTCCATCATTTTCCACGGACACAACCCCCCTTAAGTATGCTACAGAAATGCGGCTGCTTCTTTGAGCCGAGATTTTCCGACTTTTCCTTTCTTTTTTTTTTGTTTTTTTTTTCGTTTTTTGTTGTGTTTTACTGCGGAACTCGGTCGAGCATTTTCATCTGCTTGTTGCTCGCTTTTCCTTGGCCAGGTTAAATTGAGCATCGCCTGTCCAGCGCGGCCGGTCAAAGGCCAAATGGAAGAAAATTAAAAATTAAGTGCAAAGTTTGCCAAGATTTTGTGTTGTGGCCCCGCAATCCTCGCCAAAATAGGCAAAATACCTATAAAAGCCACCAGCCAGAGAACAAGATAAAATTTATGCAATGGCAAAAGTTTAATTGCCCAGGCGTTGGGCGCCATTTCGGTCGACAGATAGAAAAATTGTACTCAATATAATGGTATTGCACTAAATGATAACGGATAAGTAATTGTTTAAACATTCTTTATTACAAAAAAAGTGTAACTGTGAGGATAGAAAAGATTTTATCAACAAATTATTAAATAAATAGATCAAAATATAATAAATATTTTTGAGAGGTTATAAGTTTGTCACTCATACGCACTGTTGTTTTTGATCAAAAGTTCATTTTAATCTAAGTCCCATAGATTTTAACTGAATATGATTTTTTGATCTTCCCTGTTGTAAACAATATTTTAAAGAAATCAAAAAGTTGACAAGGTTAGAAAACGGAAAATACATTTTTGGACTTGATTTTTTGAGGCATACGTGTCGTATGAGTAATTATAAAGGAAACTTTCAGACATTTATGCCTAAATCTTAAGAAAATGTTGCATTCAAAAAATCTATCTATCTAAGAATAAGAATATATTCACTCTATAAAATAAAAATATTTTAAATGTTTTATTCTTACATCCAATTAAAATATTATTTACAAGTATATTTAATATTTTCTTGCAGTGCACAGTATCATGCAATTTATTTGCAATTTACTACAGTTGAACCTCCTCTTTCCACATGGAGACAATTTTCCTCTGCACTTTACTTTTTGTTTTGCACTCATTTTCCACTTTATCAGCGATTTGTGTGGGTCGTCTTGCTGTCTCTCTCTCTCTCTGGCTGTCTTTGGCTGTCCCTTTCTCTGTCTTTTGGTCCTTGGTCCTTTGGTCCTTGGCGCAGTCAAATCGTTTCGTTTCAATAGAATTTCAATAAATTTATCAACGTGTCTTGGCTTCCCCATCCCCTGCCCCTGACTTATTTTCTTCATGCCATGATGCCATGGATCGAGATCCATTCTCCGGTTTTTCCCCCGAAAGTACTCCGCCGCCCCCCTGATGATTTTCCATTTTCCATTTGCATCCACACCGTCTGGTTGAGCGTCTGCGATTTTTCCTTTTGGCCCGTCGAGCAGAAACGGGCAATCGGTCGTATACTTTATCAGGCGACAGCGCATCGTTTGCATGCCTGCAGTGCGAGTTTTTCCTTACTTTCCAACCCCCACCCCTCCATTTTCTTCGTTTTTCCTTACTAGGGGGGGTTTACCCACCCCCTGAACCTGACGCTTCGTTACCCCTATTCAATTTCAACACCCGCCCGTCTCTATCTTTATGTCATCTTTTTAGTGCCGAGCTGCAATCTCCTTCCTTTTCCTCAATCTCCTTCTTGTCTTGGGCAATGCGCTTATGTGCTTCCTTCCTGCTCCTGACTTTTCACCCATTTTCCACCCAATTTTTCCCAGTATCCCCCCTGAAAACGTGCCGCCTGGCAAGCCAACTGGTTTTCCCTTTTTTGCAAATCTGCTGCGGCTCTAACGGAAATTTATTATTGACAGCATCTGCCGCTGCAATGCAAACACAACTGTGTAAGTAGTAGGGTTTTGAGTTTGCTGTAGGAAAATGGGGGAAAATATGGGGGGTATATGGAGGTAGGCGGCTATATCCCCACATACATATAGCGCATATACGCACATGCAAAATGCCAGAGTCGGCAATTTTGCAGACTAAGTAGCGTGCGCCTTCTTCATCTCGGCAATGTCTACTGGCTGAATGGCTGAATGACTGACTGAAATGGCAAAGACACTGACTGAAATTGACGTTCTGCCACGGCTGATGTGCATAACATTGACACAAAGTGCAGTCCGTGGCCAAAAAGGGAGGAAAACGGGGGAAAAACGGGGCGGAAAACTCCGGGAAACGGCTCCTTCGATTCTGGTGAGTCATCAAAGCGAGACAGGCGAACAAAGTGGCGGTTTTAGAATGCCCATCAATGTTTATGGGGGTGTTAAAAAACAACATACATGTAACCAATCATTTCAAAGTAGGATTATATGTGAAATCATTTTTTTAACATCCATTGATACTTTTTTTTTCATAAAATGTTAAAATTTAATTTTGGGTGTCTAAAAGTATGCAACAATATATTTTAAACTCAGAAATACAATGAATGCATTGCAAGAGCCTAGTATCCTTTATTCACTGCATGCTTTTAGACACCTTATATGAAATTTATAAATGATCTAGTGATTTGAGTGTTGCCCCCAATT